CAATAATAATAATAATAATAATAATAATAATAATAATAATAATAATAATAACATTTCTAAAGCGCCCTTTCCCAAGGGTCCAAAGGCGCTGTTTACAAGGTTAAAAATTCATATTACGAAAAGAAGTAAAAAGCTAGAAGATAAATAAAAATAAATAACTACAATAAAATTTTCAGTTTAAAAAGGCACGCTTAAAAAAAACTTACAATATGTACAAGGTATCTGATTTTTGCCGTTTAGAGAAACAAAATCAATTTGTCAGTTTGTAATTCCCGATCCATTACAGCTTCGATTCCAGTGCTTTTCCCTTAAGAAGATTTACAATGGTAAAACCTGGAATCCCTGTTGTTCAAAATGTTGTTCTCCTTTAGGAATAACAATTACTCTTCCGCCATTTTTCTACCAACCTATCATTTTGAGGTAAAGTTCAGTCTAAAGATGATTTCGTATGTTTTAAATCGCCATCTAATATGTCAGTAACATGTTTGCTGAATCGTGCCTGGTTTTCTCTTGGAAAAGTAGCTGTACATCTCACAAACAACACGTGAACCTCAGGAATGTGAATCACTGCCTAATGGCGAAGACGGGCGACCAGTGCTGACTTTCGCGTGATCCCATCGAGCAGTGCTTCTATGACTCTTCATGAGTTTATCGTATTGAACTTTCTTATCATTAGTTAATGTTAAAATATTGCAGCTCTCGTCAGACAACGGGGTCAAAGTTGCGAAAGAGAGTTATTTGAAGATAGATTTGGAGAGGTTTCTGTTGTTGTGACAGAGCTAGCTTGTTTGAGTGCGTTGTTTTCTACAGAATGTCTCCTAAACAAAACGAACTTTCCTACATTTACACCCAAAAACTTGCACGCGCAGCTCAGTCACGCAGGCCGCAGTCCCCAGCGGCCTCGCCTTGCAAGGGATATAATAAAACCAATAGGCCGCCTTTTCACGTTTTCTGACGCCATCTTGTTTGGAGAGAGGGGGGGGGGGGGANCGTTACATTTGCTGTTCACGTCCTCACGACCAATAAAATCAACGGAAACGTTGCTTGACCAATCAGTTGATAGAATAGGCCTTTTCACGGTTTCTGACGCCATCTTGCTTGGGGGACCACGGCGAAAATTACAGTAAATGTACAGGGGAAAAGGCGAAGCTAATGTCTAAAAACTCACGGAAAATTCGAGTTCTGAAGTATTTATGAATTAAAAACTAAAGATGCTTGGTAAAAGAATTTACTGATCGCATTTGAGGGAAATAGTCTCACTAGAAAAGCCACAATTAAGGTTTTCATTTTCCCATACATTTGTCCGTAAAACCGAGTCACAATTCGCGAGAAAATTTAGAGACATTTGTATGAAAAATCAAAAGTGCAATTCCTCGCCTCACAGCAAATTTATGTTCTTCAAATTTGACCAAAAAAAGCCTTCTGCTAGGTATTGTTTTCTCGTAACTTATAAAATACTCAGAAGGTCAATCACTCTCAAGTTATTGGGCGTCAAACTGCCTAAGCTAGATGGCATCAGAAACCGAGAAAAGGCCTATTCAAGATTTATTTTACTAAAAAGTCTGTTTCCTTTCATTAACTTAGCTGTGACCACGCTAACATGGCCAGAGGGAACATACGGTTTACCTAAAGCAAACGTTGGTTGTCCTTTGTCAACAAATTTTAAATGGGCCACAGGGTGGAGGTTTGAGGACACCGAGGATACAGATCCAAGAAATATCAAATCTTCAAGTTTTCATTTAGATACGATTGTAGGCTTAGATGTCAACAGGACTTTCTGCATTAAGATCAACGACACCAAGTCTGTCGAGTGGCCAAAAGGTTAGTAACTATGTAACTATGGTAACTAAGGTAAACCATTGTCACCGTAAATATAGCAAGTAAATACATACTACAAACATACACTTTATTATAACTCGAAGTACCAAAGTAGCTCCATTGAGCTAATATCTTCGAGAAAGAAAAATTCATAAATCAATTAAAGTATTACAATACATAATTAGAACGCTAAAATACTAAAAGTTCATTTTCTTCATGACTATCTTGAAATCTTTTAGTGATGTCGTTGTTCTCATGCTGCCTGGTAGCGAGTTCCACATTTTTGCAGCTTGCTATCCGATACACTCGAGTCCATAATTTGTAGTTCTTTGTATAGGTTAAGTCAGTATGTCATTTCCCAGGGGAAGATAAGAAAATTGGGTAGAAGGTTGCAAAGCTGAGGGAAAGAGGACGCTCTATTCTTTAGGCCGGGAACATTTTAAACGTTCCATGGAGAACGATGTCTTCAAATTGACTTCATGTTATGTCATTTCTCGGATAGTTCTTAAACATAAGACACAGATGCTGAAAAAATTGTTTAAGTATGATAAGACTTCCAAAGTCATTAGTACGCCAGGATCAATGTATTGCATCGTATCACAGACTCAACTTTTCTGATAGCTTTTGAGCAAGAACAAAATAGAGCGAGAATTCCGAAAGTTGACAGTCATATCCTGTTTCCAAGCAACGTCTACTGAAAATAGCGCAGTGGGCTACAGTGACAATGAAACAAGAACTATCTGCTTCTCACAAGAAGTAAAGACAACAAGCTAAGTATTGCAATTTTTAACTTGACGTGTTTGGTTATTTATTTCAGGTCAATATTGTATCTTCAAGAAAGGTAATTGCCCCAAAGGACTCAAAGAAGGTTACATACACTGGGACGATGAAACAGATAAGAACATGAACGACAAAGGAGGAACACTTCCTGATGGCATATATGACGAGGATACCCTGATCTACTATTGTTGTAGAACGGACGGAGACAAATTTAAGCCTATGTCCCTCCCCCTAATAAGTCCTTTTTACCTCAAGGCATATCGCTCGCGTGAGTGCCAGCGCGTGCAAGGAGCGATCTCAACTGAGGAGTATATACGTTTCGACAATGAAGATCGCTTTAACAAAGACAAAGAGAATGGAAGTTATCCGTACGGAGGAGGAATTAATAATCACAATATCACCTACTGTTATTATAAGAGTAAGTTTTGTAATCTATAATTAAGGATTAGAAATCGTGCTCGGTGTTTCTATCGAGTTTTAGTATAAATCTACTAGCGTTCTATCACGAATGCTGTTCTCTGATTGGCTACGCTACTCACTATCTATTCTGTGATAGATAGTGAGTAGCCCGGCAGTGTGCAGTTATTACCAAAATAACGGACGCTTCTTTGCGTTTTCGAAGTATCTGCGAATGAGGATTTAGATAGAGTTTTGAATGACCAGTTGATTTATACTAAACCAATAAGATTATTCGCTCTCGATTTCTATGCGTGATAGTTGACTCGGGCTGCGCCCTCGTCAACTACCACGCGATAGAATCTCGACCTCGTAATCTAATTGTTAAATGGAAACACGATTTTAGACCAGTCAGAGCGCGTATTATCTTTGGTTTGTTTTCTAAATTAAGTATATAGCACAAAAGCGCGCAATATCTATCGATCCTCATCAATAAGTGACGCATTGTAGCTCTCCAAGAGTTTCCAAACAAACTAGGCTCGATTTTCACCGCTCTCTCCCAACAGGTTTACGTGCCCTTCCGAGAAGAGAGTTCGGGGAGGAGCGCGGGCTCCTTTCCCGGACAGCAGCTGGTAATCGAGCCTACAAACGACATTATCCAATCAAAATGTAATGCGAGTTCGTAAAGTTTATACAACCGGTTGTCGTCACCGTCACATGTTTATGTTGCTTAGGAACTGCTCTGACCAAAACAACCGGCTCGGCTGATTTTCTGAGACGGGATTCTCACAGTATTAACTGCTGCGGCAAGGATTCTCGAGCGAGGACTGGTGCATGAACCAGCGCAGACTCGTTCTCAGGGCCTTCTTAATTTGTAGTTTCAGAAAAGAAGATTGAACCTGAGAATGAAAGAGTATGTGGAGAGAGGTGCTGGCCCCTAACGCGCTCTTTCATACATTTTTTTCTCTAACAAAATTGTCTAAAGGAAATACGCGCGCTCGATTTCTATCGCGTCATAGTTGACGAGGGCGCAGCCCGAGTCAACTATCACGCGATAGAAATCTCGAGCTCATAATCTAATTGTTTAATAGAAACACGGTACATGTTTTCTATTACTTGATTAACATTTCGTATCATTAACGGGGATAGAAATTAGCTGGCAGTCCAAATAGCACAAAATCCTGAAACCATCCTCATCTAGTCTACTTCTCACAGGTATATGAGAAGAATATTTGCTGTTTTTCTTGTTTTTGCCAGGTTGCCTCTACACATACAGCTTGGATAATAGCGAAAATGCAACAGAGTTCATCTCTCCGAAGTTTTTCGGTGAGGGATTCCCGTATTCGCAGAAGTGCAAGTGGCGATTTGTTGTTCCGCAGAACAGCAAAATCCAAATTGATTTTCTTGAAGCAAACCTTGAGGGAGATGACACGATTGACATTCACAATGGGTGGAACAGTGGCTCATTAGTTGGTAACATTAAATCCACAAAAAAGCCAGAGACTGGTGGCTACTCGTCCCAGGGCACTGTTATTACTCTAGAGTTCGAATCAAAGGCACCCGGTCCTTCACGAAAACGTTCCCGCGGCTTCCGTGGAACCTTCAAAGTCATTGGTAGTAAAGGTCAGTTTCACGTTTGGTAAGATAACTATCGTATGGCCTCGCTGGGCAGGCATCACGACGTTTTAGACGTTTTTGAGAAAACTGTTATTAGTGTAGGCGCGCGCGTTTTTATATTAAGAATTGCCTCCGGTTCTTGATCAGTTACATCACGGGGGTATGATTCCAACTCATTGACAGAAACTCTTTTCTCAAGATGCAAATGTTAGAAACGCTGGTTACATTTGTGAATTTAACAGTTGCTGTTAGATTAGTGAGTCATTCAGATTTAGTATTTCGCTGATTAAGGCCCAGGCGTGCATTTGACTCCTCTGTTAAAAGGGTGCAACTTTTTAGGCCCTTGTGCCAAAGATGACTTTTGCACATTCAATTTGTCGCGCGCACAACCAAATTTCTTCTTGCTCTTTTTGTCGCGTCACGCTCGCGGACTAAGGAAAAATCGTAGTTGCAATTATCGTTTTTGCCAGATTTCCTTGGAGCAAAGCTTCAGAATTTTATTGTCCAATCAGAAATCTGTCACGCCAGCATTGTCCAATCTGAAATCTGTCATGTCAACATTGTCCAGTCTGAAATCTGTCACGTCAACATGTCACCGTCAGAAGTGTAGCCATCAGTAGTGTGACATGTTGTTCAGCAAACTCCCTGCCGAATACTACAGGCTCATTATTTCTTGGAGGCGGGATTTATAACCGAATTGTACGCCATACTGATTCGTAAAGCAACTGAAATTTGCTTTCCACTCACGTCTTATTAAATTTACCATCACACTTGTATTTTAGAAGTGGGTCCCGCCTGGCCAAAAGGTACATACGGTCTGCCTCGCCCCCGTCTTGGCTGCCCTCTGTCAAACGCACCCGATTGGAAAACTGGTTGGAGATTCCAAGACACCGAAGATAGCAATCCCAACAACAAAAAATCCGACAGCTTTCATATGGATACTGTGGTCGATAAGAGTGCCATAAACAAAACTTTCTGTATCACTACCCAGAAAGAGGGACCGGTGTGGCCAGAAGGTGAATATTAAATTAGCCTATTAGCAGGCTTCGGCTGGAAGGGTCTGATTGCGACTGAAAGGGCCGAGTAGGAACTGGTTACGAGTGAATTGGCCGAGGGAGGATGGGTACTCTTTCTTCTCGCTTTCTCTTTGCCCCTCTTTGATTAGAGAACCTGTCCACAGACTAATGTTAAATAATTTACAGATGTTGCAATCATAGCTAAGCCAAGTAAGATTTGGTTCAGTTTTGAAGCCGTTTCGTTCATGGTAAATAATTACTCTATCAAAAGCCTGTTCAAAACTCTTATGAACAGCGATTCGTACGTATACAATCTGCAAAATATACCACACACCAAAGCCTTCCCTTATTACACACTTAGTGGTCCGATAATTTGTTCCTTAGAACATGATCGACGCAATTTTGCAACTTCGTTCCCAGGGTCTATCTCCTCTTGGAATGAGGTTAGCAATTTTGTGGTAAAATATGCCTTGAATGTACAACAAGTCGTTTTCGTAACTGCGCATTTCCACAAAAGCGTTTGACTATCATACAATAGATGTGCTCACTTTTGGTTTCTTTTTGTGAGGTCAATACTGCATCTACAAGAAAGGCGCTTGTCCTGAAGGATTCTCAGAGGGGTATATATTCTTCGACGATGAAAACCACAAAAATCTAAACAAGAAAGGAGGTGCACTTCCTGACGGCGTATACAACAAAGATACAAATATATCCTACTGCTGTCGAACAGATGGGGACAAAATGAAACCCATCACCCTTCCTGTGGCGAGTCCTTTTTACCTGATGGCTTACAACACGTCTGAATGTCAGCGCGTCAAGGGAACTCTCGCTACAGAGGAGTTCATAAGACATGACAATGAAGACACGAACAATAGAGACTCCATGAACGGAACTCATCCGTTCGAAAAAGGAAAGTCAAAAATTACAATTATGTACTGTTATTATGAAGGTAAGTACAGCCACAGATCTAAAACTGTTAAATTAAAGTGAGTTTTAAATGTCTGTGGTATAACCAATACAAATCGCATTTATCCAGCATCTGACCAATCACAGCAAAGGCGAAAAGCCGTAATGAACCAATCGCAAGAAGCAACAATACTAAGCGTGGGAAAAGATGTAACTGGCGTCAAGCGCGGGGGAAACATGTAACGACGTCAAGCGCGGGAAAACGCATGCGACGCAAGTGTCACGATTGGCTTTGGGTTTTCCCTGATTGCGGATTGAAAAAAAAGTATTTGTGTTTGATTTGTTATATTAGGCCAAACTGCACGAGTTTTCAGTCAATTTAAACCCTAGCAAACGTATTGTCTCGCACCACCAAGGAGATGTACACGAATTGTTCTAGGGATTAAAAGTTAGATATAGGGAGAGAGGATTTTGGAAATGTTTACGTCTATTCTGAGACTCCGCTTTGTCTCTCGAGCAGCCTGTCACTTCACCATCGGTGAGAAATCTCAAGAGTTTACGTCACCAAACTACCTCACAGATGGCTACCCCAACTCTCAGTTCTGTTCATGGCGGATCCTGGTGGAAAAGAAAACCCCGCCAACGGAACAGATTCTAATCAAGTTCCCTGAGTTCCACTTACAAAAGGGTAAAGATGGAGATAAAGTGAGGATCTACAGTGGATGGGACGATAGAGCACCTCTCCTCGCGGAATTCAATGGGAATAGTCCCCCTCCTGCCAAGGGTGTGGCATCGAAAAACCACGTGGTGTACGTTGTGTTTACATCTGATTCACAAGGCAAATCGAAAGGCTTTAGAGGACTCTTCCTCAATCAAAGTAAGTGATGAAAGAGTATTGTTAACAAGCAAAGTCAGCAAACACTGGAAGAAGCAAGTGAATAGCGACAGCATTTACCAACATACCAGGCCAGCGGCTTAGTTTTGTCTGCTAATTTATGGTTTACCTGCCAAGTGCCCACGCGTAAGGTTGTAACTAATATTAACTACTGTTAACTAACTGTTTTTAGTAATGTTTACACAAAATTATCATAAGATTTAGCGCATTTCTAAGTCAGATAAGTAAAGTAATATAAACAATGTAATGTAGGAGTTCTTAAGGTAGTGAAGCGTAGCATAGTGTTAGATGGGATAGGGTCGATAGGGTAGGGTAGAGTGGTGTAAGTAAAGGCAGGGTAGGGTAGGGCAGTCTAGGGTAGGGTAGGGCAGGGTTGGATAATATAGGGTCGGGCAGGGTGGGGTCAGGCAGGATAAGGTAGGGTAGGGTACAGGGTGGGGTCATGCACATGTCGTTTTTTGCTAATGTAAGGGAATGTCATGTTGAGGTGCCACCAATAACCCAGGAGAAGAAGAATCTAACGCTCATGTTTTGAAATCTGATTTGCAGAGTACAATGACGACTCTGTGCCAAAAAAGCCGATAACACTTCCTGTTGAAACAACTCAGCCAACTACAGGTGAAAACTATATATGTGTTCTTTCATCTTTCACATCAGAATAAGCAGATAGCATGCATATATTCAACAATTATTCCACGAGCGTGCGTTGGATATGAGATGAAATATAGAAAAACTCCACTAAAATAAAAATAAAAACGTCCCCTAAAATCACTCCTACTCTTACCATATTTGTAGAGCATGGTATAATGGCTCATAACCCATGATGGCTAAGCCAATGAAAACTCTCGTATTGCTTTATCCAACGATCCAGTTTTCAATAACTGGTGATAGTTAGAAGCCCTAAAACATCTTGAGAAACACGTGTCTATGACTGATTATAAGATCTTAGTTGTTCTTAGGAGCTTATAAGTAAATACATAAGAATAAAAATATAAAAAATATGTCCATCTGGTTCCCGTCTTAGTTATATCAAGATTTAGTATATACCACACAAGTGAATTGTGCTTTTCGCGCGCTCTGATTGGTTAACTCGGAGGTGATTAGCAAGTACTATTCACCTCCGAGCAGCCGCCGCGAGAGATTTTGAAATTTCCGACCGCTTGTCACACATTAAATAACGTTTTGGTCCGGTAATTATTCAGCTTGTGTGGTATATACTAAAACAATTATTCACCTCAGTGTCGGTGAACGTGATGAATATTTACCTCCACTTCGGTGAATAATTGTTTATTATTAACTGTACTCCGTAGAGGACAAATAACGCGAGACGCATAAAATATGCCGTGGTACCACACACTATAAAATGTGTAATACGATCTATGTATTTCTTATTTTGTTCCATCATAGTAAATACGAGCAAAATATCAACAGCGAACAACACAGCACCCACAGCCGGTGAGTTTTGTTTCTTTGTAGACAACTGACAGGCACGCAATGCGTAAACAGTCGTACAAGTACATATGCTGAAAAATCAAATGAACTGATACGCACCAGATGGAAGGAATTTCCAGGGATCAGAACGTTGTTTTCTCATGAGCAAGAATTTTATGTCTCAAGTCAAGTTATAAAAAAGTTTCAGGAGAGAAAAAAAGGGCAAAATGTTGAAGTAAAGTGCTCCATCAAATAATAGTGGTTTTCAATTAATTGAAATCTTATCTATCTTATTTAACCATATCATGCTAAGCCAATCAGATCTCAAAGGAAAACTTTGCTTCGCTTCTCGGGCAAATATTTGTTTTAAGAACCTCAAATTTCTGCGGGGCAACTATCAGCTGATAGTTCTTCGACAGAAACACTCTATTGTTTAAATAGAAATCTTCAGTCATAATCTAATTGTTTAACAGGGGCGTGTAAACGCATAACTTAAGGCAACGAAAAATTGGTTACTTTTGAAAGACACGCGAAACTGTCCTATTTTTTTTTATATTTTACCAAAGGCAAAAAAACTGGCGCCAAGTCCAAGTCCTCCGCTCCTGTCGGCGTTATAATTCCTGTAGTAATCGCAGTTGTGATCGTGGGTGCAATGGTCTCTGTGTACTGCATAAGACGGAAAAGAATGGAAGAGAGAGTTCGGAGAACATTAAGCCAGAGCAAGTTGGTAACAGTTAGCAACGATAGCTACACTTATCGGGACCTAGATACACAAGACGACGGCTTTACGGAAGAAATACAAGACATTTTCCCTTCATCCTAACTTATCTTTTGATCAGTTAAGTAAACCAGATTGAAAAAAACTGGACATAGTCATTTGAATTGCATAATCTTATGGGAGCCTGGGAATAGTTGAGCCTGCAGTTCTTAGGACGTTGCTAAGAAACACGACGTAGTTGGCGCGGGAAATATTTGAGGTTGTTGTGTTATTTGATTGGCATGTATTTGATTGGCATGTATTTGATTGGCATGTAAGGATCAAGAAGACTTCGAATGCTTCACGGAAGATTTGCGGCATTTACAGCAAATTGGACCTCGACCTAGGACGCTAGAAAGCTCAATATTAGAACCACTTCGCGAACTAAACTGAAACAGTTCATGTTAATGAATCAATGTGACTAGATTTGCCTGTTTTGAATAGGACTTCGTTTGCTTCGTTTAAATCTTAGTCGAAAAGAATAAATTTCCAGGACAATGTAAAGATCAATGTTAGGAATAGTTTTATATTCATTCCCTATTGCTTCTGTGATAAATGACTTGAGTCAAGACTTTCCTTTCTCACAGTATAGCTAGGAAGAAAAGGCACCGCATCCAGGCTTTTCCACAAATACCACGTAACATCGCCTTAATATCTTTTCAGAAATTCTCAAAAATCTTCTAAATATCACAAAATATTTTCTAAATATCTCGAAAAACCCTCTAAAGATCTCTAATTTTGTCTCAAAAATGCACTGATGTTAAATCAGTGAGGAAGAAGATTCAAGCAATTCGATGTTAACAGCACCCTCCCTTTCGGAAAGTTGCTGCGTAAGTGTTTTTAGTGATATGGAATATATATGTCAAGTGGGAAATCATGGAACTGGATTGTTTCTGGCTTAGAACTGAGTATTGGTTCAAGAAAATAGCGAAGAAAACACAGGGCTCAGCCTAAAAAGCTATGAATATTTCTAAATATCCCTAAATTTTCTAAATATCTTAGCATTTCCTAAACATCTTGGGAACTTCTTATAAATATCCCCCAAAAGATCCGGATATTTGTGGAAAGGCGTATACGCATCCTTTGCAAGCTAAGCTACTATTCAAGAAGGACTGCGGACTAAGGCTGAGAACTTCTCTAATTTTATTTTTCTATAACAATTGTTAGTTGAACCATTTTGCTAATTTTAACACCGTTTTGTCTTTAATATATTAACAAAGGGGCAGAAAATAAAGTAAGCAAATATTATAGTAGTATTCTTTAACAGATCTTCCAAAAACTACAACAAAATATGATAATTAAAGCGAATGTTTGCTTTCCGTAGATAAATGGTTATGAAAGAGTAACAGGAAAAATCAACAATTAATTTGAACATTGTAGACCGCACAAAGTTCATCAATTTGTATACTTTCAAAATAAAGGTCAGCGTTAACGACAATTTAGAATTATGATGTGTAGCAAAATAGGAATAAATTGCTATTCTGGTGTAATTCTGTACTCCAAAACCAAAGCACTTTGCTCGAAATTTGGGACGGAACATTATTTTTTTTTTAAGGGAGAGTTGGGCAATTTTGGGGGGCATGAAATTTTTTTCTCACCTTTAGGATGGGCATGAATTTTTTGGGTGGGCAATAGTTTGTGCAATAATTTTTTACATTAAAAATCAAAATAATGATGGTATAAAGCACTTGCTCGATTTTTTCCCCATATCTCATTTTGCACGATTTTTTTTCAGCAGTTTTTGCTGTGCAGGAACTTTTTTTGGAAATTGCCCACGCACTCACCCCTCAAAAAAATAATGCTCCCTATTATATCTCTCAGTTAGTACGCGCGCTGTGATTGGTCAATTTAGCGGGCCGTATTCTACTGTACGGCCCGCTAAAATTTAAAGGCGTTATTGTTGCCCAAATGTTTCGTGATTTACCGCCAAGTTTTCTTAACTTTTTTAGCAAGTAAAAAAGGGTACTTACAGTACGGACCTCGAACTCGGTTAGTAAGATGTATGTTGTTAGGACAGTTACCGACTCGCGTAGCGGAGTATTTTTGATGAACTTCGAGGTGTTTGGAAATGTGGTCAAAAACGGTCTTGAGTGTTTGACATATCCTCTCCATAGAAACTAAAAATAGGGAGAAAATCGTAACAATGTATGCCAATGAAGATCAGATATCCAAACACTGTCACAGTCACGATTTCCTTTGTTTAAACTTGATGAACACTGAATTACATGTAGTGAGTTTGCGAACTCAGATTATACAATCTGTTTTGGAATTTCAATGTTTTATTTTTCGCCCATGATTTGTTAAACTACTGACGTTCGTGTGACGTAAGCCGAGGTAAACAAGCGCCGCGATCTTTTCCCTGAAAATCCACGAATTATAGTAATGACCGGACGTCAAACGATTGAAAAATAAACTTATAAATATTTTAAACTGTAAATTAGAACTATTGACGTTTATAATATCTTGCGTGATTCAGCAAATTTTGCTCTAAAAGTGTTAACGACCTCTTAAAACTTATGTTTACTGTTTAAATTCAAGTGAAACTCAAAAGCACTGCTGTATTTTTCTGCCTTTGCATAAACGCCATAGCTTTGCAAAATTCTATCAAAGCGTAAGCATTTTGTCAAGACGAGGGAAGAAAAATCTTGGCTTTTCTTCCACATTTTGTGCCAAGGTTAGGCTTTTTACCCATGCCCACCAGTGTTGACACAACATGTACAAAGTGTAGATTGCTGACCTCATTGTGCATAAATATTAAATTTAACAGATTGCCATCCAAAAACAGAATTGTTTTTTTCTTGGCCGCTAATTGTTATCGTGGGAAGAACTAACTACGCGCTCTCCAAAGGCTAAATCCACGGATTACACCATCTGGCAAGAATAGTAATGAGAAAGATGAAGCAATATTTGTTCCTGGTTTTACCATGCAAATAAGTTCCTCATTGTCAGAGTGGGTGCCGGAGGCTTTCACTCGCAGAATTCTTTTTAGTCCGGCTGAAGGCCAGAGATCGTGTTTACGAAAGCCTCCGTCCAAATCAGCTTTAATAACACTTGTTACATCCCTGTAGCCAGGTGGGGCGAGGTGTGGGTTACATGGGGCTTATACGTTATATATAAGCTATATCAGTATGTGCAGAGGCAAAGGGGATGGTTTTTTAGCATCTTAGTCCGATAAGGCGAAAGATTTAGAACATTTTGTTCTGAGATGGGGAAGGTTTCCACTGTGGTTCGCACTTTGGCTCTCCCTTCCCCTCCCCCCCCCCCGGGAAAAAATCCTCAATTCAACTACAACCAAGGTTACAGTTGAAAAAGGAAAGAAAAGACGGTGACTAGACTTTTTTTGTTATTATCGTCTCTAAGCTGCGGCTGTAAATTATAGCATGTGCTTTGTAACATTTGAGTAAATTTATAAAAAACATGTGGCCGCTTTAGCAGAAGTAACCTTGGATTCAGTAAAGCACACTCTCTCTTTGTCAGAAATAAATGCAAATTTCCTTCACAGGCTTGTAATTTTCTAAGCTTGTAAATCAATTTACATATCCATCAAGTTATATTTGAAGTGAACCGCTGCCAAAAGTTGCGACTCAAAACTGTGAAGATTTCACAAAAAGAAACAGCAACAAAAACACGAGAACAGAAACACGCAATGGAAATCCATCTGTGCATTAAGTCTTAGTTCTGTATATTTAGGGGCTCGTTTGGCTCGGCAGTGGGTGAAATGAAAGAAGGAGGAATAATCTTTATCTAATATTCAGTGGCACGTTAGGTTCGGCGGTGGATGCGCCGGGCTTTTCTGTTAACAAAGTAGCAAACGATCCAAACGAGCCGGCTCGATTAATGGGTGGTGAAAGATAGCCATATTCTGCGATTACGCCTGAGAAAATCTGGCTTCGCACGCAAAAAAAAAGAAAAAGTTTTCACTTATAAATAGTCGCAAATAAACAAAGGGCAAGAAAAAAGTGGTTCACTAGAAGAACATTAACATTTTGGGACTGCACTTTCCTGCTGAAACAATTTTCTGTGCTGTCACACACGGACTAAACATCTCCTTAACCCACCCCCGTGAAAGACTCATGGCACGAAAAAATATTACGATCACGTTTTTCACGCACAAATCACATTGACGCGTGATAACTGGCAAGTACTGAGCGAAAATAGAGCGTTAACTCTCTCTCGCCCGTTAAAATGTATCTTGATAACAGGAAAACAACAGAGAAAGCTTAGCAAGTAGAATTCAGCGTTTGCAATAAAATTGTTCATGGCATCCACCTGCTTTGAATATATTGACACAAGCTGCTGAATGTGCGAAACTCGGGTAGAAAATGAAAAAAAAATTCTGTTATCTGTCGATTCATCATTAAACTGGTGATAAATTAAATTTGATTAAAACGAAAGTAGAAATACTTAACCTGGAAAAACACAAAGTAATAACTTGGACGCGGCTCTGTCACGACAGACATGATCGTTTATCTTTTAAAGCCCATATTTAGCATTTAGGTTTTTTGACAGAGTTGGGTTTTTGATCAATAATTGATCGACTTTGTTTGGCATTGGCGCCAAGTAGCCATTCAGCGCCCACGAATAACAAGGACCGCCTCGCTGAATTTACAAGCAAAAAGAAAAGCGATACACGTCTCACGCTTAGATCCCAGCTGTCCTGGGCAAGATATGCGGCATACGCGTGTTAGAAATGACTCCCCGTGCCGACATGGAGATTTGTTAACAGTAGATACGAGATTTCAGGCGTAACATCGAGAAGAAACTAGCGACAAAGAGCACAGCTCACGTTGCAGGATGATTTTTACGCAGATTTTTCGTTACCTGGACGATAGAGACGCTGAAGAGGTCCGGCGTCAAACCACTGACAATTCAGACAACTCGAAATCGCGGCCGATCGCTGATTCTCGGTTTCAAGGGGTTCCAGCGGAGAAACAAGATAACAAATTTGGGCAGATTTCTTGCAAAGGTGTTCCATGTTTACTTCCAGAAGGCAAGCAAACAAGCAGAACTAAAGCGCTGTCCAGCGCTCCACTAGCTCAAGGATTTTCAACTTTACGCGCAGATACACGTAGCAGTCCAAAGACAACAACAGTTCATACAGTTTTGCCCCCGATTGCAAAAGCACCAATAAGAACGGGCGAAAAACCGCTAGTAGTCAATGACAAAATCCCAGCAAAACTACCACCAATCGACCCATTGACAGGCAAAGCAAGACTGTGTACGAAGAAAACGAGGTCGTGTTCAAAGATGAATGGAGAAACGTTGTGTGAAAACACTATGAACGCGACACAATACCCGGGGGGACATCAACGGCGTTCGCGAACACCGCAAGATCGCGCCGGGCTACTGAACAACGATGGGAAAGTTAAGCAGGCAATTGATCTTGCCGGAGAGATGAATGATTGTCTAATAAAGGACTCGAAAGTTGTGGAGAGCTTGCAGAAAGAACGGCGGAGAACGCAGTTTTCATTTGACGATATGTCTTTGGCCAAAGTCAGCATAAAGAGTACTTTTAATCAGCGATATGCCAAAAAACTAGACAGCGAAAGTACGAAAATAGCCGAATCAACACAGGCTGATGGGATTAACGCAGAAAAAACTAGCAATTACTTAATTTCAGGGCAGTTCGAGACGAATAAGCCTTTTCCAGATAGTGAGGAATCACGCGAGCAATACAGAAAGATAGGAGATGTATACACATTACTAGCAGTAAGCGAACACAACACACAAGATGGAAGACTGTCAGTAGAACGAAACATTGAAGCCGTAAAGACTCGATGCAATAGCTCACCCTGTGTACAAAGCGCAGAATATTTACGTTTGCAAACATTCAACGCTTCTAATAATCACGTGTGTGGCTCCTTAGTAACGGAGGGAAAGAGCGAAACCATGGTTCGCTTGATTACCTTCGACAAAGGAAGACGAAATGCAATCTGTGAAGTCCTAGAAAAAAGCATTGGACCTGAATATGGTTCAAGTTTGTACGAAAAGCGGCAAAATTTAATGAGCATGTGAAGAAGGCTTTCAAGGGAAACGGGATCAAAATGAACTCATAGCCAGGTGATTTATGTGTTTTGAAACTGCAAAATTTCCGCGCTGTTTCACCACGACATCCGCTTTCAGTGTGCAAAAGACGAAAAAGCCTCGTGTCAAACTCATGCATTGAACAGGAAAAGGATGTTTTGTCGCTCAACGGAAAACGCCAACTCAATTTTGTTGACAATCGTAATTTAAGTTTTATTTTCTCGTCGCCGTTTAATGTTTTAACGCGATTTCAAGGAACGATCCGACAAATAGTTTCAAGGAAAACCGACGTTGTAAAAATAATAAAAAAAATAATGCTAAGAATTATGAAGTAATTCACTTATTTTAATGAACGGTGAGAAGATTTTGACAGAATATCCGGTGGTATAAATATAGGAGTTACTTGTGTAAAGAACTATTGGTAAAAAGCAACACCTGATCTGAATTTTAATTTGACTCTCAGAATAAATTACAGTTTAGCTCGAGGGGCTAATGATTAAATTAAAACCCGACTTTAACCAAATATAAACCCAATGTTTTAATAAGGTTTAGGTGGAAACAGGGAACAAAATGTGTGCTGTTTGGCGATGTCGGAAAATAAGTTTTGAGAAATAAAACTAAATAAAAAAAATAGCGCAAATTTGGCACATAAAAGATTAAAGTAAATACAGGGAGTCTTTATCGGCAGGACGGAAGACTGGGAGTATTAAGAAAGACTAAAATGTTTATCTTCGTCGAGTACCACAATATAACACCCACGCAATTACTTGAGCAACTTCTTGCACCTAACTGAGCGAAATAATTTAACGTGCGCGTTCAATGAATAGGTAAAACTAGGGTAAACGTCACAAGCAGACAGGTTTGTATTGACAAAAGTAGGGCGTTCACGTCAACCATTTGGGTAAAAATAAAGTTAAGTAGGCCGAAATCCGCAAAAGTAATATTCATATACGCTGGACTAAAACTCCTAACTAATAGCCTCCAAGCCGAGAGAGTTTTGTTTAAACATTTGACTAAAACCACTTGTCAAGAAGGTGGGATATACTCCCTGGCGTTTGAATCAAATTACAATAAATAAGTTAAGCAGCCAGGTATTATCGAAGTTACTTTTCATAATGCAGTTTGAATAAAAATAAAAGATAAGCACAGCAATTTTTTAAAAATGTCTGACTAATAGCATATTTTTATATTCTGAGCGAATTTTGATTGGTTTGGCGAGTGTTTTATTCATTTTTTAAGCGTTGTTAAACTTTCTTTGTGTTCTGTGACGGTAGAGCGTGGCTTTGGCCTGTTAATTTGTTCCATAAAACACAACAAACAGTAGTTTAATTTAGTCCATCTTCTAAAAATCATAAGGAAGCCAAAGCTATGAATTATTATTGTCGCCGGTGGCTCGTTGTTACTAGTGGATATAGGCGAAGCATCCAGGAGTTGTAGTTTAGTTGGGTCTTGTAAGCAGATGGTTACTCACCCGCTCACTCACTCGTAGGCGGAAACACTCTTTCACGTGTAACCGGAAGCTCGATTAATTAGCCAATCACCACGCGGATAGTATTTCGAGCGAATCAGAACACAGGTTAGAAAGTTCTGTCACGCCTGGCCTTAATTCAACCAGGAGAAAGAGCTATCACATTCTAAATAGTATCAACCTCGTTTCCAGGATCTCTCATCCTCCCGCCCCTCTCTCGTTACAGGGGGCGGGAGGATGAGAGACCTGGAAACGAGATTGGAAGAGTATTTAAAACCAGTACAAGTTATAAGGCCACCTTAAAATTGCTAATTTCAAACCATAGCAAAAGCGGACACTTCCACATCCACAAGTTAAAGACATTTCTAGTTTGATTTCTTGAATTTCTCTCGTTTTAAAATAACCAGCAGGTTAATAACTGGAGCCTGCTTGCGACACATACCACCTCGCACTACAGCTGCTTAAGCGAATAGCTAAGCAAATTTTTCGCCCACATTCGGGGTACAGAATCGCCAGCGTCTACTTTATCTCTTTCGAACTCATGAAACCTAATAATGCCGTCATCACTGTATTGATTACACGAACCAACAAATCGGTACGATAATAATGGTACGCGTAATTAATACGTGAGTATACAATGAAAGCATCGCAAATATAATTGTTTTGCTTTGTTGTTGTTTTTTTCAGGTAGCGTTTTCATTCACAAATCACGCGCGACGCGCAAAAATCTGTGCGACTGGCGCCACACGAAATGGACAAACCTGTTGGATTGGATTCGCGGATACACCGGATCAAGCGCGCTAATTCGTTTCTTGCGAATGCACAAGGCACAAGGCATTGGCAGCTTGTTTGCTGACGTGTATCAATTTGCCCATCAGTAATCCATCCCGACTTCCATTTCGTCACACAACAGTTCAGCTCACCACATTAGCCATAAAAAAATATATTCACCTTTCTCAAAGGCTTACTCGTGCACTTAAAAAGGAAAGTCACAAAACAGCAAAGCATAGCACGAAAATCACAAACTTAATAACAAGGGTTTTCCTAACTTTATTTACAATATGCTGTTCATTAAAAAAAGATCTACATTTTAAGCGTCAGGAGAGAATTCTCTTTTTTTCATAGTAAGGTTTATAAACGAGCATGGACTCTCTTTTTACTGTGATACTGTACCACAAAAGGCTGCCTTGTTTTACGGTTGGGTGTTTCTTGTTTCCAGAACTAAGTTAGTTCTGAAAATAAGATTTGTCCAAATCTGATAGAATATCAAGGAGACTGGAGTGACGTCATCCAAGTCATCTTTTCACAGAAGGCGTTTAAGGGAAGCCTGCAATCCTTGGAATTTGGCCAGCGTAGCTTGCACAGCTGGGTCACGTGAGACACTAGAGTGCAATTCCACAAGGTACGTCGCAGATGCGTCGTACAATGAAATTGCAATCGAAGGTCTGTGAAAAAAGTTAGAAGACATTCGCGAATTAATCTTTCAAGTAGTTCTTTCATGCTGTGGTACTATTCATAACTCTTGAGAACATAATTAAAGCGACTGTCGCAACAGAAAGAGTCTTACCTCTCGTGTGGCGGAGAAAGGGAGGGCGTGTCTACAAACTTCGACAACAAGTGATAAATGACTTGAAGGATGTGAAGAGGCTTGTTAAGCGTTCGCCAACACGGATCCTTGAAACCAAACGAAGTGAAATATCAATCGTTATTACCGATTACAACACATTTGTTTTGAAGATATGAAACCACTGCATCATCAAGAGAGCTATGGGTTTAGAGTTTAGAGTTGCGACTCGTGTTTTTAGGCAGGTATGGAACAATAAAGATATAGAGGTAGGTACGGTAAAGAAGTAAAGAAGTAACGGGAAAAAGCCTAGAGCTAGGAATTGTTAGGTAATCAAGGATCTCTAAGCATGTAAAATACCAAGTAAGTTTTGATTTATTTCGTAATGTATTATTAGGTCGTGAAGGTTCGGAATAATCAATTAAAGACATCAGGTTATCAAGAGCAATTGTAGGTACAACTATCAAAACAAGATGGACTGTCGTTTATAACTATATAATTATTCAATTTTAATAATGATGTTATAAAATTTAACCCTGTCAGTTTGAAGCTCACTGCTACATCCTAAATACATAATTCAATATTTATTCAGTCTCAACTTTTCAGCACTTAAAAACAATCTTGCAAAAAAAAAAAATGTAATGTAGTTGAACAACAGCTAGGCAACGCTGCAAGAGATCAAAATTCGACAGGTTTTGAACACATAAGACATGTACTTTTTTACCTTAGCCTTGAAGAGTCTATCATAAATGCCATGCAACACTGGAAACGGAATTCCTATCTCCAACAAGGTCATGAAAACCCAGGTTGGATCCCAAGTAAGCTCGGCACTCTTCTTTTCCAGCATAAGGATTATAGCGCCTGTGGAATGGGCAAAACAATGATGAATCTATGACCGCAAATTACTGTTAACTGGGTACGTAAGAACTTGGTCTGACGATGTTTAAAATGACTTTGTGCGATGCACTAGAAAGGATGAAAGGATATCAGTGCCAAGGATGATAACAACAAATTACTTGTTTCATAGACTTAAGAAACAATGACTATAATAATATTAGAACGTGAATAAATGAAAGTGGTAGCTGAGCAAGAGAAATGACTTCTTGGTACTAAACTACAAACAACAGTGGATGAAAAACATCTTCAATACAACAAAGTTTGGAAGATTTTGGTGTGAAATTTCAACTCACCATTTTTGCACAAAACCGGGGGGAAGAGGGAAGGGAGGGGGCAAAGGAACAAAATAATATAACGACCATACGTATCCGATTGAGAATAATAACTGAAAACCACTCGAACTTTGTGAAACCTGCTGATAAATTGTAACTGAGTGTAACTCCAAGTAAGTGGACTTACATTTTGCGGTGGACCAAATCATACCCAAACCAAAACCTCCCCCCTATCCCCTCCCCTCCCCCTTGGTAACAACATTGACTAGAGAGGGGAAGGGAGGGTAACTGCGTGGGATCATGATTTAGTACGTATTACAGATGTCTTCATGTGCGTTAGAACATTGTCAAACAATGAATGTCACTGTTAAGCGAATGAGTTTGAGCACTGTGGATCAGTTTGTACTTACCCAATGGAAAGTATCGTTCAGAGTGAACATACACCTTTCCGAGATAACCGATCTTCTTACTAACCACTGCCATTCGATCACTTGGTGAACTCTGAAGGGAGTCATGGAGCTCTGTCGACAAGAAAAGGACAGAAATGAATATAGCTAAAGACTGTGTGCTGTCTCGAGCATCTACACAAAACTGTAATACAAAATTCCATTATTTTGTCACTTATTACATGACTGAGAAAGTTACTTCACTGTGATTGGCCGAGAGCAGGCCAATAAATCGTTAATTTTTAATTCGCACCACATGAAAGCTTGAGTAATAAATATTAAGGATCTACACTACTCGTGATATTTGAAAATTGTTTCAAAGTACACTTGTCTAAGGGCTCATGAACGTTTAATAGAAGTTTGAAATATTCATCGTAGTGTAAGTTCTAATCGCATTCACACGATTAACTATATACTAATGTGTTTTAATATATTTTCAGTGCAAATCATCAAACATTTTACTGGTTTGTAAATTCTAATATTTAGAGAGGAAGCCACATCAACATGCGGGTTCTCTATCCTGATCAAATTGGAATTTGTAGCGTTGGTTTGGAAAACCAACCGGCGAACCTGGATAAAACCCTCAAAACAAGGCGAGACCCAACAACAAATTCAACCCACATATGACACCAGGCCGGAAAAGAACCAAGGCCACATTGGTGGGAGGTGAGCGCTCTCACTGCTGTGCCAACCCTACTCCCCTGTTTGTGTTTACCTTGCTGTCACAACATAACAACAAATACATACCAGCCTCGATGATGTCTCTCCACAAAGTTTCAATCAGGATGGGATCATAATGTCCAGCACAATGAACAATGGCCAGTTTGCACTCAGACAACCCGAACTCGTCAGCAAAATCTCCATACAGCTAAATAAACACACGGAATCAATGGCAAAGTTCATTGAAAGGAGAGTGACAGGGAATCAGCTCCCCCCCCCGGAAGGGGGATTTCCCTGACCATATTTACCAACAATACTCATCATCACACACCACAGCAACCTTAAAATTTTATAACATTCCTTGATCTTAACAAGATATTTACAATTTCTAAAATAAATGTATTTGATTAAAGAAGGGCATATAATTAGTTTACTATATTGTGCCCTTTCCACTTTCCTTTCACTGTACTTATTTTTAGCAATACTGTAATCAAATCGTGAAGTGGAGAAATAAAAAATACAAAGACAAATACAACACAAAAAATAATAATTCTTACTGTAGTTACATCCAAGAGTCGCGAATCCAAAGCTGCCAAAGCTTGAGCAACGCGCCTTGATGGATTAACAGCCCTTAAATTGACCAGAGCTTGATAAACCTGCATCTGGATGCGTGCCACTTCCAGCTTCTCTTCCAATTCGTGCAAGAATTCTCCCTCGCCGCTACCAGCAGTCCTCAGGTTACAACTCTTAGCACTCATAATAGCACGAGCCAGGTACTCTAATCTTGATTCAAGGGTCACGTCTGGGCTGAAATTTAAACAGGCACATCATGAATATGATATATTTTCTTTGATGAACACCTAAAATTAATGGTCTAGTTTGGTTGAAAATTAATACACAAGAGCACTGAAGCTTAAAGAGAGTGTCGTTATAGGTTAGGTACGCACAGGGTGGTGGTGTCAAATTTGAATAGTCTGGCAGACCTAAAAAAAACATTGTTGTTGTCTCTTGAAATTAATCATAATTTGGTTTTCTTTCCACAATTCACTTGACGTCCTCCTAGTATTCTGTGTACAAGCGTAGGTATTCAGTTTCCGTTTAAACACTGCAAGCAAATATACAAAAGATTTGCACTTTGAACAGCGCAGAAAGATAGCTAAATCTTGAACTTTCAATCATTGTCAGGCCCAATACTGAATTTCCAGATCTTGAATTTTCTATATATGGCAAGTCAAATCTTGAAATGCAAAATCTTGAATTTTCAAATCTTGAATTTTCAATATTTGGCAGACCAAATCTTCTATATTCAATATTAAGTGGACCCAATCTTGAATTTTCAAATCTTAAATTTTCAATATTTGGGAGACCTTTGAATTTTCAAGGTTTGGCGTGAATTTTCAATAGTTGGCAGGCCAAATATTGAATTGTCAATATTTGGCAAGCCAGTAATTTTCAATTTTGGGAGGCCAAATCTTGAATTTTTAATATTTAACAGGACAAAACTTGAATTTCCAAATCTAGGGGTGGTGAATGGTCTATCAACACACATCGGTCTAGCCAAATTTCTGTCGAATGTAACAGCTCTCAAATTCTCCTTTTGTTAAAACACTTTGAAGTTCTGGTCTCACAAATGTCTTGGGCTTGGAAAGAAAAATGCCACAAAGTGTCGTGTTCACCATTCACCACCCCCAAAGATGTAAAGATAGCTCAAGTGCTAAAGCACTGCATTGGTATCACAGGGGTCATGGATTTGAATCCCATTGAAGTTTCAATATTAGCTAATTTTTGGGGGTATTTTTTCAAAACTGGTTAACTTGTGTAGATAATTGTGATGATCACTCGTGTCTTTACACTTTTAGCTCTGTTTTGACCAAATATTCAGCATAATTGCTGTCATAGTGTCTCTAAAACATATATCAAGAAAAAAACATTTTCCTTCCAAGCTATTTCCATAAGTAATGTATCAAACACAAAAGACCATGTTTGACCATGTTTAGGAAAATAGAGAAGAGAGTTGAAAACAGATGCCAAGCAGAGTATTTTTTGATAAACTTAAAAGTGTTTGGCAATGTGGTGAAACACACTCTTGAGTGTTTGAGAAACCTTCTCAATCGAAACTAAAACTAAGGAGAAAGTGGAGAAATCAAATTGCTAAAATCCAAAACACCGTCACAGTCGTGATTTCCATTGCTTAAACTTGATGAATTATTGAGTTTGAGAAGTACTACGAGAGAATTTCACATCAGCAGGCAGCAGATAATATTGTGATTACCTCTCTTTCTCAGACAGTTTAGAGAGAACTCTAGCAGCTGCAGAGTAGTTCTTTGTCTTCTCATAATATTTCCACAGCAAGTCCAAGATCTTCAATTCTCCTGGCTGCTGTTGTGTTGATGATCTCTTGAGAAATGCCTCCAGGTGTGGAGATTTGACCTTAACACAAAGCAAATGAGAATATCAGTCTCCTTTGAAAGCTTGCATGAAGAACAGCGAGCTAAAGGTTAGCTCAGAGATGTAGCAAGCCTATTAGGAGTGTAGTTACTCATAAGAGTGCTAGATAACTCTGTTTTTGGTAACAAGAAGTGTCTAGGAGTATTGCTACTTCCAATCAATGGGATGCTAGTCTATCACAAGTTAAAATCCTTAAAGTGAGGTTAGGTAACCGTAACAGTTCACAACAAACCAATTTTACATCTGGGTGTAGAAAAGCACTGTGGGAGTGAAATGCCTTGCTCAAGAACACAACACAATGTCCCCAACAAGGGCTCAAACCTAGATTTCTTAATCCAGATTCCAGTGTACTGACTACAATATGCCACCTTCCACGAAAAGCGACTGGCTTTCATCTTCAGGCAACAAGAAAAACATACCTGGTCGCCTGGCCAGGCCACCTCCTTTTTGAGATTTAACTTAAAGATGAAAATAGTCTCACAATAATAAATTTGTCTTTCCCTTTTTGATTTCTTGTGTTGTATTCAAGTTTAGAAGGCAAAATGGCTCAATTCAGAATGTTTAAATCCATCTGTGAAGTCAAAACATTGGTCGTTCAATGGCTTGGTTCAATGCGTACGTTAACACTGGCCTGCAGTGATACAGACAGCAGTTTCCTTGTTTAATCCGTATAACGTCAACAAAAAGTCCTCTTAGTTCTTGTGGTTTGTATAATGTGCATGAAGTCCCTGATTGAAAGAGAATGTGAACTATAGAGGGAAAAAAGGGAATTGGAAAAGGACTTAATTTTCTACATATAACAACCACATTAACTCAAAAAAACATGTAAATTTTGTCTTTCTTTACGGCTTTTGACAACAGTATTACAAAAATTACATGTGAACCTCTATCTTTGGCATATGTAAACAGGATAAATGCCCTAGAAACAATGCAAGACATTTTTATTTAAGGGTCAATCGGTTACATGTATTTATTAATAATGTTATTAGATAATTATAATTAATTAATCAATTAATAAATTTTTGAATTGTTTTGTATTTGTTTGGGCCACCGAGCTTGACTTCTCAGCACCCTAGCCTAAAAGGTTGGGTGCCCGAAGGGCTCTCTAGAATTTTTCTCAGAGCACAGCCTTGTTATGCCATTTGCCATTTAAGTCTAGGAGTGATCAGAATCTAATTTCTCATCACAAGACTAATACATTGTCAGGCAAATGGGTAGTGAGAATAAAGAGAACCATCAGTTAAGTGATATTGTCTTGATGTACCATCAAAATAATAGTACGAACTGACAGTAAAAGAACTGATGGCTGTCAGTAAAAATGAAAATTTTGAACTTTGGACTGAAAGGGTTAAGTATGGAGAATTAATACATTGAGCTTGTGATGTAAAGGCAGTTCATCTTGTGTGATTGTCCACATGAGGGTAATTTTGAAAAGAGCGGTTGTTTGGTGACTGACGTTTCGAAAACCTGAGAGCAAGTCATCTTTACAGGGGTTAAAAACAAAGGGTTAATAAGAAAATACAAATCTTACCTCAAGTAGTCTATCAGTGAGTGCATTGTCAATTAACCACTGATACAACACAACATGCCACAATTCATCTCCATATGACAGTGAATATGACAAAACTTCTTCCATCTAGTGACAAAAGCAACGACAATTCAGTCTCTTAACCAAACACACTAAAAACCTCACAGAACAAATTTTCATTCTTAGTACAGACACACTGAGTTTTTGTCAGTGACTTACTACATTGTTGTAAAATAATATTGCTCTTTAGAGTTCATTTAATAAAATCTAAAAATCTCACTTTGGTCATACTTTGTACAAAAGAGAAACCAATAAGAACACTGAGTAAACTGTATTTGTCCCAGTAACATTAAACAAATTAATTGAACTAATATTACAACAATTATATGGTAAAAAGTTAATATAAAATGTTTTTGAACTCAAGTCTGATAAAAAAAAAAAGTCAATTTAAAGCTTACCAGCTTGTCAGCATCAAGTGGAGTCATTGCATTGGGGTCTGGGGTGGGTGGAGGTCCTGGCTGTGTTGGTCGACCAGGAGACTGGGAAGGAGCTGTTTTCATCACCAGAAGGCGCTGTAAACTGTCGAGAACACACTTGTAACACTGTTGTCTGAAACAAATAACACTCTCTTTAGTAAATAGTTGATGTGAGAAAATTTTCAATGCACAAACCAGAACAGAAACAATAGACCAATTTCAATATATTAGAATTCAGCCTAACACAATAGACCTCAGCACGAGGCTCTGGGGAATAAACCCCACAAACTCTGTAGTTATTCCCCAGAGCCTTGTACTGAGGTCTATTGTGTTAGGCTGAATTTTAATATATCGAAATTGGTCTATTGGGATTTGCAAACAATTTCAAACCATTTGCTGATTGTTTATAAGAAAAGTACTTTAATTACAAATGTTTCTCTAAAAGATGAGAATAGACCCCTTCCCTAAAATTCTGTCAAACACATGTTACGATGAAATTCTGAACATATTACCATTTTTGAAAGGCAAAACACAACAATGCAACAGCTTTGATTTCTTAGTCAATATTAGAAATGATTTGCCACAGAAATCACAAAAATATCAATCTTCAAATTTCCCTGACCATGTAAATACAAAATTTCAGACATAGAAGTGGTTCCTAGCCTCCCCTTACAGCCGTCTTTTCCACCTATTCATTGAGACTGACTAGTTTAAAAACAAATTTTCCTTCTTCATCAAGGGAAAACATCATTGAGATCACAGTGACCCCACATATTTTTTCAAGCTTTCAATGGTATTAAATCAGCTGTGTTAAATTATTTCAATTTTCCCTCCACTTTTCTTCAAAATGTCAATGTTCCCCGACTCAAAATAAAATTCCCTGACCTTAAAGCATTTTCTCCCCTGGACCTGTGGCGACCCTTAAATTTCCTTTGTTAAATGAATAATTGAATTTCTTTAACAAACAAAGGCTTCAAAACAAAACATGACATAACTCTTTACATATCTTCACAGTTTTGGTTCCAAATAAAGTACCTGGCAATAAAGGCTTCCTCTCCTTGCACATCACCACGTGGCTCACCGTTCCTATAAAAGTGCAAAGCTAGCCCCTGGGGGTCCCGCTTGAGGGCAGCATATAAAGACAACTCCACCATGCCCTCATAGAATCTCACTTAAAAAACAAAAACCTTAAGGTTACATTTACATCATTCATTTCAAAAGTGAAAAGAGTAATAACATCAACAAAACATTATGGTAATAGCAAGGATGGTAGACCTAGGGGTGGGTTAGGTGGGGCATTTTTGGGACGGAAGTGAATTGTCATGTTTTCAAATTGGTATCTGTGGTGTACAAAAAGGATATCCATTTTTTTCAATTTCCATATCATGACCTTATGCACTACTGATGCCCTGCCAACACAACACTGACGCATCTTGTAACTTTATAAGGTTATTAAGTGACTGACATGTTGGCTGACTGTCAGCCAACTTGTTGGCTGCACCATTAGCTGATGTATAGGTGGGATCAGATTCTTCACTCTTGCAAAAGTATCTGTCATACACACTAAAAATCTACTTGTTAACAAAACAACTGTAAATTGTATATTGATCTCAGTCCCACCTGATTCAAACAAAGAGCATATCACTTCTAGATTGATTTGATGAGTCACTTGTCGATAACACTGGAAGTTAAAAGCACACAAAACAATGAGTCTGTTTGGTAGTGAAATAAATGATAACAAACACAACATTGTCTTCTTCACATCAGCAAGTAGACATGAAATTTGATAATGACACTCTTATAATTCTGAAAACTTGTGTTACCTATAACTTTATAGTTTTCTTTACAGAGTGCCAACCTGCTGCTAATACATGGCTAAATCACCACAAAACTGACCTGAAGTGCATCTTTGAGAATGCTTTCTTGTTCCATTTTGTCTCTACTTCTTTTGGCCAGCATTAGAAGTTCACCTGCCTAATAAGAAATGGAATGCAGATAATTAATTAAAATACTGTGGTCAGAATGGCTTGTTTCTTACTAATTTAACCTTTTTCATTTGTGAAAACAAGATGTGAATTCAAGCAGTTTAACCAAATACAGAACTTTATTTTCTCAAGAAATATTTATCACAAGTGTTGGTGATCTGAAATTTAAGTTTGAGTTTCACAAACAGTTTAAAAAATGTTTTTCATAGAAAATATTTTGTCCCGTAGATAATCCCTTATTTACTACACTTTTAAGGGCCACTGTCACATACTTTTTTTTCATCCCTAGTCTAACTTCATGTGCAGATCATTATCTGACATTCAATTAAACTTAGTTTTTATGTTGAATGCCACCAAAATTGTCCAAACATGCAAAGTCTGTGAATGTCACTTTCACCAATCAAAAAGGTTACAGCTACATGACTGTATATCTGTCAAGGAAAAGCAATCAAATTGTAAAAGAACTGCCCTAATCATTTATCTGGCAATAGGAATAGTAAAGCCAGATGGTAGAAAGAAAAATGATATTTGAGTATTCCAGAATGTTACTCCTGCAGTGATGTCTTTACCTTTGTGGACACAGCATCATCATTACTGAATAAACTTGGACAGAGATCCCGCAATCTCTCGCTAATGGCATCAGTAGAAGCACTGTCATCTAGATAGCAGTTCATTAATGCTGAAATAAGAGAGCTGCAAATCTGTAGAAATAAAAATACAATTTTGAACCAATCTCCTGTTGTATTTCAGTATACAGGTGTAAATTTTCAGCACAAGCTAGGGGACTTGTTGTGGACACATGAAGCAGGACATGCTACAACATCAGTTTTCCTAGTGTGACATGCCCACTTTTGCAGAAAAGTTCTATTGCAGGGACGAAATTTTGTCCCAGCAACATGTTACAAGAAATTCAGCTGGTTTGAATTTGCGCATCATGAAGCAGGGATGAAATGATGTCAGTTTTCAGTGTGCACTGTTCTTGCAAACTGTCCTCACTAAAACATAGAATTGAACCAATGTCTGCTTTGTGTCCACCAGTTTGCAAACTGCCCCTGCAACATGCGTCCTGTGCATACACAGGGAGGCGGGGGGTCCTTGTCCCCACTTCAAGTGACACTTAAGTGATACTTAATAGTGATACTAGCCACATAAGGTGCTAAGTTCAACTGAAATCACTGGCAATCTAGTTACCAACAATGGCATACCAGCTGGCAGTTGTAGAACTGCAAGACTCTGTCAGTAAAATTTACAATAGAACTGCCTGAATATTGATAAGCACCTAACTTACCTCTTGCCCAGTAGTTACTAGGTCTCTAAATTTGATGTGTTTCAGACGTTCTCTTATCACCTGAAATTCCAACACAGAAAAAACAAGCATCAAGAAACCAAGAACAGAATTCTATTTATTTGTAGGACTAAGTGTTAGAATACCATTGGATACCTAAGTACAATCTCCTCTCGTGTTTCTCAAAACATGTTCAGGTATTCCTTTCCCAACTAAAAGTAATTACATAAAAAGGAACTGGATTTTCCTAAACACCACTTTTACAAAATTAAAAAAGTGTCTTACCGTGTCAAGGTGAAATATCACATCCTCAACATTGTGCTCATTAAGAACTTGCCACAAGCACAGTGTCTCCAAAGACCAGTCTATCAGGGACTTGAAGTTAATGACAAAGGTTTTTTCTGCATGAAGTGCTTCAGCTGATGCTAAAACAAACAAAAAAACCCAACAGGTACAACATTAAAGGAAAAAGTAAAGTTCCAAAGTTAAATAAGCGCACACGACATGACCACGTTTACATGTAAATCATTGAAGAACTGTTAACAAAGTTACAGAATAAGATCTGATTCACGTTCATGTGTCATCTAACATGTTTTCTATGTCATAACGTTGTCAAAGAAGTCTGCAGATCTACTCAACCATCGCGTCGTGAACCCACAGCTACCTTGACAATGTTATGACAAAATTCATAATCAATAACGGGACAGATACATGAAAAACTGATGTCAGTTTGTTAACTTATGCAGATAGTTAAGACTAAAATCATACAGAACCTGTTCTCTTTTATGCTAAGGAAAAAAATTTCCCTGATAACACTAACCTTGATGTGTTTGTTGGAGAAGTGACTGTGCACCAGCCACTGGAACTCTGGGGAAACTACAAGGAAAAACATTCACTTTATCTTTGCTTCATTTCATTATCATTTAATGTCTTTTTGGAGTTAAGATTTTAATCTTTAAAATCCCAATAATTAACATCTGATTTGTGCTAACAAATTTAAAGGAGCTCAGTTGCAGCATTTGGGGTTTCCTTGGCCAAGTACAAAATTACCTTTAAATTGAAAGAAACCTGAAAATGGTGGTTTACCAAAATTGACAAACACTAAAGAGATAATAATAAACCATAAAGGAACAAGGGTTGTCGAGGATGGAGAAAATTAACACGGATTACGAACATGGAACATGATAAATTTGGGCTAAACTTTTTAAGACCGTGATGATAACTGTGATGTAGCTCCTTTAATACACATGATCAATCAAACTAGCGGGTGATAAGAATAAAGAAAATCATCATCACAAACGATGGATTATTGTCTTGACGTAACAAAAACTTCTCTGAACTACCACTAAAAGAAACATAATGCAACCAGTAAGGAGAATTAACAAACTGATAATCTGTTAATTTCTCCTTACAATGTCAATACATCAACGAGTGATGAAGTGATAAGAAGATACAGTTTAATATTCTCACCCTCCTTCCAGGTTAGGAAGCATAAACCGCAGATTTTGTTCCATCCACATTTGAAGCTGTCGCAATTTTTCTAAGACCCATCCAAGCTGCTCAACATTATGTACACTCCTTAACACTGGAGTTGGCTAAACAGTAAAAACAATATTATTAACAAAAAAACAATGTCAAAAAGCTGTTACATGTAATATCTCTTCACTTTGTTTTCCTCAGTAATGTTCTGAAGTCTACAAACATAGGTTAAGGTGAAGCAGTGTTTGAGCCTAGCGGCCCATACAGCTAGTGCTTCACTCTGATAGATCCGTAGCATAAAGCGACTAGGAGTATTTCTTTTCTCCCCTGAATGGGATGCCAGTCCACTGATGGGTTACTCCCAGCATTAAATTCACCAGTACCCTTTTATACACGTGGGTGGAGAGAGAGGCACTGGTAGTAAAGTCTGTTGCCAAGAACACAACACAAGGACCCAGGCCAGTCTACAAAATGTACCTGACTTAAAACGAAGCAGCAAGAACGACCAAATGCTCTAATGCTATCTTAGCTTTACTTGCAAAATCAAAGCAAAGCAAGGCCAATCTCATAAAATTTGTCTTCCAGGATGGGATGTTGGTAAATTATAGGCCACTCTCAAGGCCATAGAATTCAAGGACTTTACAACACGTTCTTGAATTCAAGGACTTCTCAGAAAATGCCAGAAACCTGTACACAGAATGCATGATGATGTGACAATTGTTTTTCATAGATTTTTAAGGTAAATGTACCAGAAACAAAAGAAAAATCAGAAACCAGAAAAATCCAACACTGCATCGAAATTAACAAGTTTTACCTGTTGTGGTTCTGATGGAAGAGGCATTAAGAAATCTTCAAACACTAATCTTGCATCCCAGATAGTTCTACCAAAAATAGGACAATGTCAGTAATACAGGAAAAAATACATAAACAGTTGTGACTTGAGAGTCTACAATGGTAATCCAACTTGAAGTAACAAAAGAGTTTTAGTTCTTATTATCTAAATATCAGGAAAAGCAGAAGTTGGAACTCCATTTGGTATACAGTCAAAAAAGAGTCTGTATATGAGCCATGTGGCCCATCAGGTCAGCGCTTAACTCCGCTTTCTGTAGCAAGAAGCAACTAGGAGTATTTCCACTCCCCCCTAGATGAGAGGCTAGTCCATCGCAGGGTTACCCCCAGCATCAAATTCGGCAGTACCCATTTGTACACCTGGGTGGAGAGAGGCGCTGTAGGGCTCAAACCTGGACTGCTCAATCCGGAGTGAAGCACACTAACCATGAGGCCACCGCACCTCTACAATATATAGTACTGACACAAAGCTTATTGTACCAGTTAGAGGTGGAATACTGCATTTTGGATCCCATAGGGTATAACCACATTTTATAAAATTTCAAGATACGTACTCTAGTATTCTTGCAAAGTAAAGGCACAACCCGTCATGTTTACTGGATCTTGTCACTTCAGCTCTCACAACCGCTTGCCCCATGCTACCATACTGAGGTGTCGACGTCACAAAACCAGGACTTCCATAGCCAGGCCTACCTGGGGAGGCTATGTAGCTACCTCCGAGACCGGTACCCGTCTCAGTGGGGTGGACTCCCGTACCTGCAGGTGAGGGGTGGTGGGACACTGACTCTCCATATTTGAAAAAAGCTCTTGTGGCCCACTCTGCAATCTAGACAACATTGACATACCAGTATATTTTAGTGTGAATTTTTCCCAAAATGTTATTTACCCCTTAATTTTGATTCAAGTGACTTGACACAGAAATTACCATGATGATAATACTTACAACAACAACACTCTTTTTGTGACAATACTCACCTGCTGTTGGGATGTCTGTGCAGAGCAAGCCAAAACAAGACATGTTGCACATGCCTGGTCTTCCTGTACAAGTCATGAAATATGACATTAATACCATGATAGCAAAAAAAAAAAACATGAATGGGTTGTAAGAACAAATGGAAGAAAAATATTGCCCCATGTTAGTAAATTGAGCTAGATGAGATGTCTCTTGCACACTTTATGACAAACTGTATATAGCACATACATGCAAGTATATTATAGGTGCTAGCTAGAGTAAGGCTAAAATACATAAAATTTTTACAATATGAAAACTAAAAACCCCCGGTGAAAATGGAGGGGTTTTCACATGTACATTTCAACATCTTTGTGTGGTTTTAGTTATTACATAACTATTTAGCACAAGATACATAAGAACATGGTTTCAATAGGTTTTTTTGGCAGGTAGCCCAAACTGCAAAATAAGCAGTTGATGGAAGTTCAATTTTAACCATGATATTATTAATTTCACAGAAAGTAAGGGGCAAATTTCAGTGAATTTAATTCAAGTTCATAGCAGAATTTTTCCAGTTGCAGGCTCTTATTGAAACATTCATAAGAACCATAAAATTGTGCCAGATGGTTACCAGTAAATAACTTTTTTACTCACCTTATATAGCTTGAAAAAAGCTCGCACTGAGTCAGAGTCAAATCCCTGACTCTGTATAAATAATTGTTGAAGTTGTTCCACTGGGCGATAAGTTGTAAACAGGTAACTACCCTGTTGATAAGGAATATATTATAAAAACAGAAAAAACAGTTCAAAAAAATTTAGTCGCAGTCAAACCTCTTAAACATGGACATCATAGGGGTGGACGTGAATAAATGTACATGTATTATGGAAGTGTCTGTTGTGAAGGTAGAGATTATATGTATTAAATTCTGGTTTCTCTCAGGAAACAAAACCTCTCAGACTTGCCACGGACTATGACTTCTAACATATTGAGTTTGCAACTCAGACTTTGAGCACGATGCTCAACCAGTTTGCTGTTAAATCCTCTGAAGAGTCTCTTGGCCAAGATGAAAATAAATAATGCCGTGCCAGACTTGCACGAACTATTACTGGTATTTCACCAAACAAAGTGTATGTAATATAGAGGTGTCTGCATTACAGAGAGAGAGAGAGGTTTGAATGTAAAAGGGGTCTGAAATATCCAAAGGTTATCCAAAATTTTAACGAGTGGGTTAATTTGACTGATGTGACCAAGAGTCCTTTATTGGTGGACTGATATACTGATGGATTGATTAACCAACCGATCAAGTGATCGACTGACTGACTATTCATATTATCTCACCTGAGAACTGAGAGCAACAAAAGATCTCTGACAGGAAGCATGTTGCCTGACAACTGCGGGTGGCTCCAGCCATTGATCACAGATTATAGGACGGCTGCAGATCATATTACTTCCAAATTCAGGTACTTCACTCAAAGACCATGTTCTCCCATCCATTGGTACTGTCACCTACATGAACACAGATGAACTAATATAAGGAAATGCATAAAACCTATGATATCAGTATACCCAGGGCTCCAAAAAGTGCTGTCCAGTCGTCTGCAACAAGTAGACTTTCCAGCTGGGCAAGTTACTTTTTATTGGCAAGTTGTCTGCCAACTTAATCAAGAAAAGCAAATTGAGACTTGCTCAGGGAAAGCAAACTTTGAGAGCTGCTTGTCCAAAGGGGAAGCTGGAATCAACGTTTGTTCGAGCACTGTATACCCCTGGCAATAGACCATACAAGTTTGTATCAATGTTGATCCAAGTATCCCTTACCACCTGAGCATATCCAGGTTTCTGTAGCATTAAGCAGCTAGGAGTACAGTCAAACCTCTACTAACAGCCACCTCCCCACAATGGACACTTCTCTACAGCGGCCACATATTTTCATCTCAATTGAGAGATTTGTTCTTATTTTAACCTCCCAACAATGGCCACCTCTCCACTATGGCCAGTAAACTCTGCCCCCAGGGTGACTGTTGTGAAGAGGTTTAACTGTATTTCTATTGAATGGGATGCTAGTCCATCGCAGGGTTACCTCCAGCACTGAATTCCTACCCATTTATACACCTGGGTGGAGAGAGGCACTGTGAGTGTAAAGTGTCTTGCCCAAGAACAAAACACAGTGACCCGAACCCAGACAGCATTACTACCCATTAATAACACCACTACATTCAAAACCAAAAACTCCTTTATACCATCTACTTTTTGAATGTCTGATAGGTGTAGACTATGGCTACTGCTTTCTTTAGAAGAAATATTTTTAATTAGTGAATTTAGATACAGTGCTATTGTCAAAGCAACAAATCCCAAGTTTCATGTTTGTAAAAATGGGTGGGAAAACAATCATAGCAACAGTTTCTTTGCAGCTTTGTCAGACTTGATATTGCCTCCAGTAGGTCATCAACCATCAAAATAACAATAGCATCTGCCATATTTCCATGGGAGGTGATCCCCCCAAAAATCAGGTACTGAAGTTTTCTGTACTTGGAAGAATTTGTTTCCCAAACAGAACTTTGTCCTACTGCAAGTGTACAATTTCTACAAGTGTAGAATTTGAAATTTTCCATGAGTGCATGCTCACGACCCCTGTTAAAAATCTTATTGAGACACTTGCGTCACTGTTCAGTGGATTACAGAGGTACAGAATCTAGGGTTGAATAAAAATTAATTTAACTGCTAGTTGTTACTACTTGTTACCTGCATTTCTTTGAGCGGTGATTGAAAAGGAAATGGATCAGGGCTGATTCCCCAAAGAACATCAGTCTCTTCAGTTTGAGATGCAGCCATCAATGAGATGCCTGAGGAAATACAAACACGCAATGAATGAGGAAGCAAAGTAAATGAAACTGAGAATACAAAAGACACTACAGTAACTTTACCAACAGAGTGGAGTCACATAGGAAATGGTTTGAACGCAGGAGTATCCTAACCCTAAGTCGTTTGTCTAGCGTGATCATCTCTGTGAGGGTAGATGAACACAGAAGACAAACTAGAGTGGAGTCACCTAGACAAGTGCATACCACTTACACAATAATTGTCTAAGTGGTATTCACTTGATTGTTATTGTGCTAAGTCATAGATACAGTCAAATTGAAACTAGCATGTTCAGCTCCTTACGTAAAATGTTTTGTCTTGACATTCATGGTTATGGAGAGAGCAAGGATCAAGGTAGAAATAGGAGGTAAACTTAGTCTATTCATTTGCATCATATTTTCAGCCGTAACTTAAATTATAAAAGAAAAAACTTCCAAAAAACCCCTTAAAACTACCTTGTCTGTAGAAGGCTGCATGAACTTGGGAAGGCCTCTGTGAGGTTGCTGATGGTGCATATCCTGGTGGCAGTCTTACATGAACAAGCTGTAGTTTACTTGGTCTCTCTAGTGGAGCTCTGACAGTTGTTGTAGTGAAGTAAAGTCGCACACCTATCGACAAAGCGATCACAATGACGTAAGTTACACTGAAGTTGGAAGCAGATCCAGGAAATGCAGAATCAGGCTAGTGACCACTACAGTTGATGAGACAAATAAGATAATCACAGGATATCAAGTGGAGAGTTCTGACTAGTTTCTCTAAAATGCTATATGTATGTCCTACATTCTGGGAGCATTTAGGCAAAAAAGTCATGGCTTACAAATACAAAGTTTAAATTCCCTGACAAAAGGCAGAGTAGAAAGAAAGAGGGAGGGAGCTTTCCCCCAAAAATCAAAAACAGTTTTTGCTGATCAAAAACATAATTTCCTTCTGCGACAATTTTTCTTTAATTACAGGGACATTTAGGTGCAGAAATTTGTAGCTGAAACAGACAACTCTCAGCTGTCTGATTTACAGGATATGTAAAAAATTTCATTATTACAAGCATGTGACAACAAATATTTACCAGTGTGTGTGATTGCAACCAGATGGACAGTTTTTGATTCCTGCCTTGGTATTGGTGCAATGTGAACAATAGGACGGAACTGATTGTGACCAATTGTTGTTCTGAAAAAATAAAACATGAAATACATAAATGAAACAAGTTGTTCAATGATTTATTTAAAACAATTCACAGTCTTAAAATCTTGTAACACTAAAAACAGTGTCGAAGCCAATCAAAATGACACAATGTAGGTTACAATTGTTGTTAGAGAAACACACACAACATGTCTATGACATGTACCTAGCAACTGATTCAGCTCTGTGAGTGATTCTGTCTTGAGTCAGCGATGCCACATGTGACATTCCATTTCCATCTGCACCAAGATCAAACACCTGAAAAGAATCAACAGTAAACAGTTAACAGTTTGGTAGTTACTAACTACGTCTAGACGTTTATTAAATGGGAGATTGGTGCACAAAAAAATATGAGGGTAGACTGTATGGACTCTGGGAAAAATCATAATGGTAGTTTCCTTTTGTTTTGAGAAATGCTTGGGTATTGCTATATTACCTGATTCAGAAGCATTGCAGTGTTGTTTAAACCTTTATTATATAGACACGAGTGTTTTACTGGAAAATACACCACTCGTAAAATTCATACGAAACCACATCCGGGACTCGAGTGGCATACTTTCTATATCCTCACTAGTGAACATATGATTTCACTGATATCAAGTTTGTCTCTTAAATTGTTCTTAAATTCATTGGTGTATCAGAGATACATCTTCTCATCTTCCACAAAAGTCTTCAGCAATCTTCGGAAATCTTTGGTAATCTTTGGAATTTTGCTTGGAAATTTCGGAAATGCTTGGCAACATTGGTGTGACCTTTGGACAAGTTTTGGAGAATCTTTGGAAATCTTCTGAAGGTGGTCGCAAATCTTTGGAAAATTGTCCAAAACGCTCTCATTAGTATGTCTTTATAATGAAAAGAACATTACATGTTAGCTTGAAGATATGAATTTTATGTTCTTGCCACGCAAACATAAAATTCATTTCTCACCACCTTGTAATATCCTCTACATTCAGAACAAGCTATTGTGATCTTCCTAAGACTGGGGGGTGGAGGGGGTGGAGGGGGTGGGGGCAATTCTGCTCCCCTCTGTAGAGATGTCAAGTATTTTATAAAGAGCAATGATAATGAAACTTTGATATAAAGGACATCCTGCTGGTCTGAATAGAGCAAAAACAGAACACAGTAGGACTTTTATCGTAAAGAAAACAGAGCCCTTTTAATAAATGTACCTGAATAGTTCCTTTTTCTGAGCGAGAGTAAAGAGTGTTTCTTGTATTATCAACTGCCAGCTGGACTATGGAATCTGGAACAGAACAATCTCTGATCATTTAAAATCACTAGTTAATAAAATATCCAAAAAGCCCTTTGTAATTTATCTAGGCTCAGACTTAATTGCCTTTACCTGTACATCCTGGCATCATTCACCTGACCTAATTTATGAAAGGGTGCTTTGTAATAGTAACTACTGGTTTTAAGGGTAGAGTAGCAAATGTTGACATCAGCCCAAAAGTATAATTGTGGGTTCCTGAATAATCCTCACCTTCACCACTGAAAGTAGTACTTAGAAATGATGGCACAAGGAAAGACAAGGCTCCTGACGAGTGGTTCACTTTCCGACAGTTCCTCCATGGAAACCAGCTGTCAGCTGACTGCATAGATTCAAGGGTGAAATTAGCAAATTGAGTTTGTTTTACTTATCTTCAAAATACATGTAAATAAACATTTTTTCCTCTGTAATTTAACAGGACTTTCATTAACATTTTCTGCAGGAATGCAACTGGTTTTCACAGTGACACCCGAGAAAACTTTTTGATTTGAACCTCTTTACAAGAAAAAATTTCCCTAGATGGTCAGACCAGGTGAGAAAAATCATTCTCACAGCCCGTCAATTTGCCCAGTGTCCAACCCTTGATGAAACGACTGATTTCAATTGATTGTATCATTTGATTGTATCGTATGATCTCTCCTTGTTTCGCCATGGGACACATAAGGCCTCATTTGATCAGACAACAACTCTTAAACCTAACACTCTTGGCCAGAACTGGCCATGGAGGGGATCATGTGAAGGAAATTAGCTATGAGGAAAGCGAAAGCTCTCAAACTTATGCTGCCCTCATTCGTTAATATCAAATGGACCTATGAGATGGCCGAAGCAAGTCAGATGCCTCCCAGCATACTGTGTGTAGCTACCGACATACATTCCTTTCAAACTAACCTGATAAGCTACTTCGTACACACAGCCATCCTTTCCACCAAGGAAGATTCTTCCTGACTGTGTCCCAGTCATACATGTCATGTAGATGTTATCAGATGGGATAGAAAACACTGGATTGGGGTGAAGGTGCATCTCGGCAAGGTCATCATGGCCCAAGCTTCCTAAGGAAGTGCAGTCAAGATAATAAAAATAAAGAAAACTTACAAAGGCATGGTTGAGTAGATTTGGATATACTAATAGGAAACTGGACAAGAAATTCAAAAGTTCTGTAGTTGCACTGGTGAAACTAATGGATATTGTCTTTGAGGAACCACAAAATTCTAGAAAATGGGAAATCAAACAAATGTGCCATGCACGGTGTTACATGTACAAAGTTGATTTGACTGTAGTGATTAAGGTGTTTTGTTACATATGGTAACATTTATAAAAAAAAAAGTACAAGGTTATTTTCAGAACCAATCAAAAAGAGTTAAGAGTTAGAGAGTTAAAGAGTTAAGAGTTAGAGAGTCAAAGAGTTAAGAGTTAGTTAATCACTTTGCTATGATATAAGTATCCTGCAAAAGATGACTATAAACAGGGAATATTATCAAATAATTTATCTTGAAACTACACCTTTAGTTTGCCTCATTTTCAAACATAATGATGATGAACATACCTAGTCTCTTTGATGTGAATGCTACAGCGAGCAGCACAATATCAATTGGTGTTGTGAGGCACAGAATATATTTAACTTCATCTTTAAAGATCTCTGAAAACACATAAAAAAAAATTGTAACTTATTTAATGAATTTATTAGCATTGCAAGCACAGAGAACAATCAAAATCAGAACACTGCAGTCACCCTAGGCTCAGTCTTCAGCCATAGGTGTTTCAGTGCGCCCGCGGAGACTGAGCATACATATATGTATTCATTTACATGCAAGCCAACTGACCCAAGGAGCAAATTATAAATATAGTAACATGCTTTACCTGGCTTGGCTTTTACTAATCCTACACACAGAATAGTTTCATCCAAACCATCAAAATAAGCTGAGTCACTCCTGGAATAACAGAACATAAAAAAATACATTGCTAAATGTTGTTCAGCGTCAAATCTCTATAGTGATTAGTGTGCTTAGCTATTCCTAGCTAGGTCTCAGGCATGCCAAACTGAAATAAACAAAGACTTCAAATAAGCATAGTAGGCTTAAAAAATCCCAAATGGTGAGAGGTAGACCAGTTGGTTATCTACAAGCATGACCAAGGAGTTGAACTAGGGCTCTACCCAGAAACAACTCTTGTCTGTGTCCTTTGTGATTGGCTGGAGTCATCACTTTGGTACTGGTTTTACACTCAATTGAAGACTGCTCCAAAGTCAGGATAACCAGAAATAACTCAACATTAGGGGTACACCATTCCACTTTTGAGGGGGAGGTGTGGTGTTGATTTGGTACAGCCATGAATTCTTTTTACCCTTTAACACACTAGGAAATTTTTTTCTCGAGATGTGTGTAAACTGTGCCTAATTTTATTTTTGGCAGTGGTTGTAGAAATTCACACTTTGAGCTTCACCATCTTCATTTCCTTCCGTCTTAGGACTCTATAACTTCACAATCTCAGTACAATCTTGAACTATCGAGGTGAACAATCATCCTGAACATTCTTACTTTCTCTCACGTTCGACAATCAACAACTAGAACATTCTCTCTCTCTAGCACATGACTCATCTGTCAATTAGCTTGAAGCTGAACATGTAACCAGACACTCTATGCTTAATGCAATGCGTAATGCCAACTACCGATTTCAGACAGTGGTTGTGTGCATGCATTTTTTTGGTACAAGTATGTTTGCAGGATGGTTTTTTTCAAAATCACCCACACCTCCCTTAAAAGTCAAAATTTGACTTGCTAGATTAAGCCACTCTATTGATATAATCATTAGGGTCGTAGGATGGTAATGGGTGGACCATTTAATCATCCACCCATTAAAATCCTACAACCCTGAGGATTATATCACTAGAGTGGCTTAATCTAGCAAGGTGCACTGTATATGTTGTAGGTCAAAATGAAATTCAGGTTAAAATGAAATTCCTTTGTCCCTTAACCCTAATTATCCATGGATTATGAATAATTGGGGTTAGAAGACAAAGGCAATTGAGAATCAAATTAGGTTAAAATCATTTCAATCTGAATTTCATTTTGACCTACAACATATAATCCAGTACATATATAGTTCTTAGGCTCAGCTAAAGATAAGTTTCACTTACCCATCTTCATAATTCCACACATAAATATTACTATCAATGGTAAGCCACGCCCTTCTGATTTCAGGGAAAAGTCCCATCATACAGTTACACTGCATGTCTGTATTAATCAGGTCAAGGATCATGTGTAAAATAGAACTCATGGAAATCTATATTGTTAAGTTACATTGATTAAACATCACTGAAGCATTGAAGAATCGATGGACATACAAAAAAAACACTGAAAATATGGAAAGTTATTTTAACACTTGTTTAGTTCTTTTGACAAATATATTAGGTGATTCACTGATGACTACCTAGTCAACATATATTGTTTTAGATTGTTTGTAATATATGAACTCTAACCCACAGACAGTTCAATGTACTTGCTTACAAAGTTGCAATTCTCGCATTACTTCGTTAATCACAAACAGCAACAACACCCAATGGATACAATTAAACTGTTCAACCAACTCTGCTGGAAGTGGAACCCTTTTAAGGAGACTGACCAGCTCCATACCAGCCAAGCCAACAGATGGAGATGATAATGAGGGATAATCATAGTCATTTATTCCACTGAATGTTGTAAGGGCTGTAAAAAAAGGTTACAATAAAACTTCAGTCAACCCCCACTAACGGATTCCTTTCACAGGCAGATATTAATCGTAAATCATGATTGTGACTTCTCCAAGTAAGCTGTGTACAAAGCATCCAATCATAGTGGAGCTCTTTTTGGCATACATTAATTTTTATATAAGAAAAGTTGTAATCCATGTATTGGAGAAGTGTGAAACAACCCAAAGTACCAGTCATTCAAGAAGATTACAATAAGGTTCTTTTTTTTAATGTGTCAGTTCTTCACCAGCCTTACCCTGAAAGCAGACACTTCCCCTGTTGTTTATGGGACATGCATATGCACAGGTATAGTCAGTCTGGAGAAATAGTCCTTTCACCACACCAAACTTGATTTAAGTACTCAACGGTGAGTTTAGGATGGCACACATACAACAAGTACATACTGTATTAAGATCTAATGACTAATGATAACCTTACATACACATAAGCTTTAAACTTAAAGGTACAAATTATCCGTTGCAATCCTGCGTTATATCACGGCCACCACATTTTTATATAGTCACTTAGGACGGCCACTTAATTATACCCCTAACAAAAACTCAGTCAGTGATTTTGTTATTCAAAGAAACACTTAAATGCGGTGTACGCGATAATATGGCCAGGTTTCTGTGGCCCGTCGGTGGACTGGTTTATGGGGTTGCACTGTATGTATGTACAAATAATTGTACCCATGCAGTGTGCAATGTCTGTGTTTTAACTAGCCACTATACAGCGTAATCCAGGGTCTCACATTTCATTATAAAGCGAATAAGACTAGTCTCATGTAACAGGAAGAAGGAAATGGAGGATTTACTAACTTTGGGAAGCGTTGATCTGTTCTGAGAGCTCAGGAAACTGTCTGTCAGCTGCTAGCTGGCGATCTATCTCCTTGGCAGCATTTTCCAGCACTTCAGGAGTAACCAGTGAACCCACAGAGCTTGTACCCACTGCCACGGACATGATCAAAGCAGATTTATGATTCAAATGTGCACTAAGTTCGCAGTTTCTGTCTTCTTAAAAACTCACACATGGCGCACATTTTCGAAGTAAGCGCTCCACAACAACGCGCATACTCCGAATAACTCCGAAAATAGTCCTGGGTACAAAACCGAGCTCTCCCGAGGTTCCGTGTTCCGAGTCCCTTCCGATCCAGACAAGTCTATCGAGGACCTCCTGTCAGGTAGTGGAACATTTTTCTATTACCCGCTTATTTTATGTTTCCTCAGAAGCCCCTCAGAGTACGTTCACATCATTAAAAAGTATTTACATTTATATCAAAACGTGAGTTCTTCATCAGAGGAATATGCCGACATCGCTCGAAGACTTCCGATTATGAAACCCGAATAACGTAAAAATGACGTCACGTTACGACAGCATGACATTTGTTGTTTTGAGAATAATTTTCTTCAGACAAAGTACTGGCCGGCAGTTTGACTATAAGTAACTGTTCGCATTTAGTCCGTCAGCTGCCAAGAATTTGTAGAGCTTCAGTCATTCCCATAATGGGAAACTGCCTGAAAGGCTCTGGACAGGACGACATTTCACTTTTACACGACGAAGAAAGTACAGATTCACCGAGAACTGGCGAACCACCGCCGCCATATCAGGTTCACAAACCTTCATAGAGATTGTCTCGTTTGATTATTTTCGTGACTATGTCAAGTCACTTATTCCGTTTTTTTATTGCAGGAGGAAGCGCCAATCTTTATACAAAGTCAACATGCTCCTCATCTCCTATCAGAGGAACAACAGATACGTTTAGCACAACGTTTAGGGTTGATACAGCACCTTCCTGTGGGAAAATACGATGGATCGAAAGGGAAAAAGAGAGAGTATGTGAAAGCGCTTTCGTTTTAAAATAATTTACGTTAAAATCAATATTGGTTAGAGGTATTGTGGATACCATTTAAGGAAAGGTGTAGAGTTTAAGGAAAAAAATGTTGCACAAAGTAAGCAATTAGATATGAAATCCGATGAATATTTTATTCAAAATGTTGGGGCAAGTTACCAAGCGTAACATAGGATGTTGTGAATATTATTCTTGAATTTTGGATACATTGGAATGTTTTCCTCAAAAATTGATGGCGGAAACTAGAGATCGGAGTTTTCACATGCCAGCACTTTGACTTTGTGTAGCAACATCATGTGAAAGAGGAAGCAGTCACCCGTTTTAAGCTAACACCAATTGGTTCTTAGACAATCAGGCCGAGGCAGATGTGGTATACATATTCTATTGTCAGCATGCATGAAAAGAAAGGTTCGCGTTTATTTTCGTTGAAAATTGCGTGCATTACTCCCAGGAAGAAAATAACGTCGGACACAATACACGCGATTGTATAATTGAACTATGTGCTATTGTTTTGCCATATAACTAAGACTTCCGGTAGAAGTATTTCCATCATGAAGAATGGTAACAATCAGTTTACTTGAATAGGCCAAACGCGTGTCTGCAAATATCTCTATTCTCATAGATGCCGGCGTTTGGACAAAGTGTGGACGGAAATAATTCAATTTAACCACTTTACGTCTTAAATTCGCGATGTTGATCTGAACGAAAAATGCGACAAAACAAGGCAGAAGTGTTTTGAACCTCAAGTGCTTAGCGAGTGACGCATCCGTTGTTCTTGTTTATATTTTATATTGACATCTCCTGGGCTCATTAAATTAAATTTTAGTTAAAACAAAACTGAACTTCATTGCTGAATCAGCCGAATTCATTACTGATCTCGAAGATCTCTAGAATTCCATGCTTCTTATGCAAAGTGACTGAGCAAATCAGTGCTCACGTAACAGGCCAAAGGTGATTTCAAGAATATTGTGCTTATATAGTGGTGCACCCTGATGACACTGAAAGTAGAATGTATTATGGTGATCAGTGTGTACATTTGACACATACCTTGAAAGAATAATTCGAAATCATATTCAGAAATTGATAGTAAATGCTGGCTTTCACTAATGTGTAGTTCCAGAAAATGTCCATACATACACCATGGAAGGGATTTTTTTTTCCAAGAAACCCCCTGTCTACCCCCTCTGGAAATTTCATTTAAGCTTGATGCATTTCTTTAAATGTTTTGGTCGTAGAGACCCCCCCTCCCCACCCCCTGGAAATTCCACTTTCTTCTGTGGGAGGAGTATAGATATTTCCTGGAACTGCATAATGCATAAGGTAAAGTAGGTGAAAGTCTGCATATGAGCCCGGGGACCCACCAGGCCAGAGCTTATCCTGGTTTCTGTGGCATGAAGCAACTAGGACTATTTCTAATCCACCCTGAATGGGATGCCAGTCCATCGGAGGATTACCCCCAGCATTAAATTCAGTGGTACCCATTTGTACACCTGGGTGGAGAGAGGCACTGTAAGAGTAAAGTGTCATGCCCAATGCCTAAAGAGAATACGTGCAAATAATAAAAAAAAAACACAGAATTAGCAGCATTCGCCTGGAAAATCTCCTCAGGTGGTACTAAATTGTTTATACACCTTGGTAAAAACTAGCCTTAAATTAAGGGTGTTCACTCCATAACTGAAGTTCTGAAGGGAATGCAAAGTGTTCACCATCTTACCTCTACTTCTTGCCTCAACTGTTTATTCTTCACAGTTTTGATAGTTTTCAAGGATTGTCCTTCCAGCAAGCATACAAGGTTTACTGTATAGCTAAGCTGGAATGCACACCAGTTACAATGACATATGGAGCACAGGGCCTGGTTGTTCAAAAGCCGATTAATGCTAATCCAGGATTAAAAGTTAATCAAAGTTCTAACTTCTCTTGAATAAAAGTGTTTTCACCGTCCATGTTTCCTTGAGTTTGACATTGGTCAAAGCCAAAATTGAAGGACAAAAATTTTAAAGAGGAAATTTCACTGAAAAGTTACAAAATTGAAATAAAGATTTACTACGATTATCAGTTGAGTAAGGCGGGACGAAAGTTTGGTCACCAAGTTTTAACGTAAAATCGTGTTGTTGTCACGGGCAACTTACCTCGTTTCCGTTGGTAACAATATCAACAGCCGTTGGTCGCCTGTCGCGTCGCCTACAATTTTGCGCGCTTTCCTATCAATTGACGTCAGAGGCCGACAAGTTGCCAATGGATACGGAGCCAGTTGCTCGTGACAACAACACGATTTTTACGTTAAAACTTGGTGACCAAACTTTCGTCCGCCTTACTCAACTGATAATCGTAGTATGCTTATCCTGGATTAGCTTAATCGTGCTTTGAACAACCCAGCCCTGGGGCCCGTTTCTTGATGGTCCCGAAAAGTTTTCGCACCCGGAAAGCCATAGCAAAAGTTCTAACCTTATGATGATAGAGCTGTTTTATTAAATATACTCTTAATGTGAACAGAAGTTCCCTTCATACAAGAAGTTTCAGGCATATACACTTCTCCATTGTTAGATACAGATGAACTAAAAATGGCTTTACGGGCCTGAAAAGTTTCCGGGGTTTTTGAGAAATGGGCCTCTGGCATTTAAAGAGAAAGGAGACCCCAGAGAAAAATTCTTTTAGCAAGGATGAGATACAACAACAAGCTCAATCTACGAATGATACCAAGTCTGTGGCAAACACGCTCATCACAGTTCCACTCATGCTTCCTAGTATTTATCTGCTGTTCTGTTGGTGTCCACTGATAAAAATTTGCATGTTCATAACCTTGATTTCAGGACTTGTTAAACTTAAATGCTTATTGTATAACACTAATACTGCAATGAGTGTGATTTATTTTATTTTTGATTCTTCTCAACAGATGTGTTATTTGCATGTCTGACTTTGCCATGGGAGACCCAATTCGATTTCTTCCGTGTATGCATATATACCACAAAGACTGCATTGAGGACTGGCTGGTGAGATCATTCACGTGTCCTTCTTGTATGGAGCCTGTAGAAGCAGCGTTACTATCCACATACTATGAAGCATCAACTGAATAACAACATAAATATGGAATACAAAACAATAGCAGATAGAAGACATTTTTTCCCATTGACAGGCTAACTGAAGTGTTACTGTTCAGCTTTTAATAAGCTTAGACAAGTGGTTCCCATCAGGAGGATGCAAAAATACAAATTGACTAGTGTTTTTAATTGATATCTTGGAGAGTACATTGGAACATCACATTCTGATCATAAACTGGTGATTGATTAGGTCATAGTTTTCATGATTGTCTCATGCTCTTAACATTTACTTCCTTCACAATTCTTTATTATTGAGTCTCTTATACATGTTCAGTTGAAACATCTTTCTCATGCTTATGTTCTAAAATACTAGAAAAAAAAAGTTGATTTTAGTCCAATAAGTCCAATTCAAAATGTCTACAAAATGACTTGCTGCACTACTATGGCAAGAACAGAGGTTTTAATGGACATATCCAGTCCTTGTGACCATATACATTGTATTAAAGAATATTGGTCCTTTGTTTATTGCAGTGATAGAAAAATTTCAAATTGATGCAAACAATCATTTTCAATCAGTTTCAAACTTATTAGTTTTAAAGAATTTAGAGTTGGACTGACCTTCTACAATTTTATGAACTGTGACGTATTTTCCGATGAACATAATGTTTCATCCCTTATTCGACGTGTCCTTGTACTGAAGTTGTTATTCAATAATGTTGAGTTCACTGTTGAGTGAATCAATGGCCCAATATCATTGATATTACATTGTTGTAGGGCAGTTGTTTGAGTGCACTCTTGAAGAACATTGCATCTTAAGACAGCATTGTTTGTATACAAACTTACTCAGTCATTAGGAGTTTATATTACCATGCTGTTATATAAACAGCTGCCCTTATCAAGGCTGTCACTTTGTATTAAGGGTCACCTTTTACTTGTTGTTGTACAAGAGGTGGTCAGTAAGGGATTCCTCATAAAAAACACAACCAAATGTGACTGATATCTCAGTGCTTTTAGTCCCAAGTGTGACAAAAATCAGTTTCCTCTAGACTATGTCAGTACAATGTCACGTTGAAGGTAATACATGTAGATGCCTGGGTAACCGGTAGTTTAGCCCGAGAGCCAGTTCGCCCTATGCCAGTTTACCTGGACTGACCGTCCCTTTTCCCGAACTGGAAGTTCAAAGAAGGATGTGCTGACTTTTCTTTCTTCAAACTAAACAAGTGAAAAAGGCAACATTGTGAACATAACAAAACAAGATAACACACGATATGCCTATTTCTTGTTCTTTAATCCTCTGAGCATGGAGCTAACAGTCTACGTGGACCAACTATCAGTCTGGGTGAACTGACTTTCGGGCGAAGCAACTACAATTTGAGGCCTGAGCGTTATCTTGATGTATCACCACATTCTTTAACATACAATGAATCCAAGGTAGTTAACAGGAGAATTGATGCTGTGAACTAAGACAGATAATTTCCTCTTTAAAGTGCCATGCAACTTACCTTTCACGTTTAAGTTTTCAACGCAGTTGAGTTTACAGTACAGTGCAGTTCACAGAGACAGTGACTTGTGCAAATGTTTGTAAATGCTTAAACCATAGCCATCACCTTATGGCCAAACAGAATTTAACTTGTTTTTTTCACTGTTTTTATTTAATAGCAATGTATTAAAATACTTTTAACATTAAATAACTTTAAGATCTTAAAATAGTTCTTTCAGTGGTGTTTTCATATATTAGATTTAAATTCAAACAGTTTATAGATTAGCATATAACTATAAAAGAACATGTATGTGCATGTATGATTAATTTTATGACCAACAGCTTTTTGTACATAGCCAACTTCTTGTAATAAGGTAATATTTTAAAATGTAAATTGCAACATTAAACTTGTAAATAAATTTGAAATAGTTATGGAGTTTGTCGATTGTTACCTAGTGATAGCAAAGGGCTTGGTTTCTAGCCATTTTGTGTTCCCTCATCATCCATGCACTGACCAAAAATTGAAAATTGAACTCAGAATGGCTGGCTAACAAACCAACTACAGCATATCCAATTTAGTTGAAAAAGCACCAATATCAGTTAAGGTGATTCCTCAGAATTGCTTTGCACATCACTACTGCACACAATTTTCACGTCATTAGTGGTGCGCACAGGTATACACATACACAACATCGAGAGCTTTCCTTTGAGCTACGCTTGACAGCAAAATAATGGTAGATTTCTGTTAAGCGAGCATGGTGACATATTTTTATAGCATGATTTTGGTGTACAAATTATTCCCTTTAAGGACCCTAGTTGGCCACTGCCATTTTCGATGCCATCGAAATTTACTGATATTGCATGGTGAAGCGAAATCTTATTGCTCGTTTAAACACGCTCCAAATAAAATATAATAGCAAAACTCTTGCATGTAAACAGAAAAGGTTTGGCTGACTAGGACCCTTTTAGTTGAAAATTTAAAAAAAAAAATGTTCAGAAGGAAAAAGGGATGCAAATTTTGACTTTGAAAACAACAATGTGCTTTGAGTTTATGTTTTAAAGTGTGTAATTTTTCCATAACTTATACAAATATATCATTGTAGCATATGCTTGAGACTTTCTATCTATCAACTTGTCAAGTATTTCTTGATAAAACTTTGCTTCCAGCTACTGCAAAATGTAACATGATCAAATGAAATAAACATTGTTTTCAAAGTTACCTTTTTGAGGAATCACCTTAAGTGTACTAGTCATTATTATAGTTTGGATATAAATAATGGTGTCAATTTACTTTTAATCAGAAAAGATGCAAAAAAAAAGCACTGCCTTTGAACAAGTGCTAAATCAAACCGTCAAAATTGGATGTCCTTTTGAGGAGAACTCAGCAATGTTGTTGTTGAATGTTTGAATATCATAAACCATGTGCACAAAGAAACTTGCAACTTTAATAATTGCCAAAGCACACTGTCATGTTGTGTTGAGTTTTGTTTTATTCTATGACGGAAGAATGAAAAAACTAGCTTCTAAAAACTCAGTAGAACTTAGAGTACTTCGTAGACAAATGTGAATTAAATTTCAAAGTTGCTAGTTTCTTGGAGCACACTGTTAGTACTGGTATGTTATGCTGCAACATCGCAGAGTTTCACTCAAAAGAAGCTTTATTTGGACTGTAATAAATGCCGTGATGCTTTTTCAATATTGAAATATGGGCTGTCTAAAACCATAAAAAATTGACAAAAGGATCATTTGCCACTAATGGCAACACAATAATTTGTATTGGTCATTTTATACATGTACATCAACTAAAACTTAAAGACATTTTTTGGGCAATTAGACGTGAAATTAGGCTATCAAGCCAGCTTAGAGAATAGTGGGCTGGCTTGCAAATTTGTTACGTTCATGTGAGGAAATTTTTCTCTCATGCCTGCTCATGTTTTGCTTTTTTCAGCATTCTGTGTGCAGGAAGTTATGTCTATATGTTTTCAAAGACAGCAGAAGTAAAAACTAATACTCCATACATGTATTTTAAATGCAAGCAAATCACTTGCATCCTGGCTTTTAGCCATATGGGCATCTATGCATCCTGAGGACACTACCTCTGTAGAGAAGATTGATAGGAGTTGCTACATTGAGATTTACGTTTCAATAATCAAAAAATCTTCAAATTTGCAATTCCAGAAAATATCCATACTCCTCCCATAGAAGGGATTGGAATTTCCTGGGAGTGGAGGGTCAGCAAGACCAAAAAAAATTAAAGAAATGTATTGGGATTTCCAGAGGGAAATTCCTTATTTGAGGTAGGTATGGATATTTTCTGGAACTACACAAAAAAATTCTGATCCAATTTAGATTTTGAGATTCTGGGCTTTCAGTAACTAAGTCCATAAGAGGCCAAAGTTTCAAATATGTCAATCTTCACCAATATGAAAAAGACAATAAAATTGTTAAAACAACAGTATCACTGAACCCCTTCTTTCAATGACAATCAATGGCCTTTAGGGACAAAAAAAATATTGTCATCAATTTTTAAGAATGTCCTGCACTTTTCTTGAAAAGAGAAATAAAAAAAAAAAATGAACCCAGTACACAGTTCAGTGACAGCTGTTGCTTACAAAAAATTCTAAAATTGGACTTTGTCTTGTTTTCAATCATTGCGTTGTCAAGTGTAAGTTGCAATTAGCTGGCTCATTGACCAACCAATCACAAGTGAGCATCTAAAGCCTTCAGGTACTTTGTGGGAATCAGTCGTGGAACCAGAAGATGCCTGCAAAAGTTAATAAAATGGTGAACTTTTAACACTTGATCTACATTTAGCACAAAGGAGTTAAGGTGTCCCACATGTGGAGAAAGGAGTAGTTTAATATTCATCTCAGCTTTAGTTAGTGTTTTATAACTACAATTTTATAAGGATGACGCACACCCCCAAAATTAAGAGTAGGGTAGTCTTAAATTAAGTGTGGAAAGAATCTGGCAATTACTTTGGTTTTGGTTTACTACCGTTTGAGATAGGCCACACAGTCTAATTGAATGTAATTGGCTTGGTTTTGGTTTTAGTTTTACCACACTCAACTGATGAAAACCACTCTGATGTGTCCTATTTAATATGTATAAATGTATGTACTTGACTTGGTTTTGGTTTTACCACACTCAATTGAAAACCACTCTGGATGTGTCCCATTTAATATGTATAACTGTATGTACTTGACTTGGTTTCGGTTTTGGTTTTACTGCACTCAATTGAAAACCACTCAGATGTGTCCCATTTAATATACATTTATACCCCAGCAAACACATGCCATATACAGTTGACTCCTGATAATTAATATTCAAGGAAAAGCACTTTGTTCTCACCTGATTGGCAAAATTAACATGAGGAGAACTGGAAACACCATTTTGAGGTATGGCAGAGGTGCAAAACCAAATCCACACAAGACACCAAGCATCAGGAACTGTAGAGCAGTGTATAAATGCATCTTCCTCTGAGGGACATGCCGAATGTAGTGGTTTGGAGGGTATGCCGCCTACAAGACAGGTAAGTGTTTTTACAATGAATTGTGGAAAGAACTAAAAACAACCAAAACCTACTGAGAATCACCCATTGCCTAAACCCCTATGTTGCACTAACCCAAAAGTCATTCTCACTAGCCCTCCAATTTTTTTCTACTATTGAGAATAATTAATTTAAAATTAAATTAATACTGTAATTTCATCTCTTACAACACTGTTGTAATATTTCAAATTACCCACTCCAAGACAAAATCCCTGCTGGGCAAGTAAGGGGCATAATCCATTAATACAACCACTCAATCCACTGCCCACTACTTTTTTTTGCACCCTGCCACATGATCCCACCAAATGAACCAAGTCAAACAAGTTCACTGGCCATGTGAACCAAATAAACCAGGTGCACTAGCCAAATGAACCAGCCAAGTGAACCAGAAGAAAGAGCTAAGTGAACCAGGAGAACAAAGTGAACCAGCCAAGCGAACCAAGAACACCAAGTAAGCAAAACAAGTGAACAAGGTGAACTGGGTTAACCAGTAAAGTCAACCTCATGAACAAAGTGAGCCACAACCATGGACTTATTGTGTTGGAAAATGTGCCAAACCATGAACTTGTAGCAATAATACATACAGTTACAGCACCCCCTTTCAATGTTGGAAAATGGTAAAATGAAAATTTGGGTTGGATTAAAGTGTTTTGTCAAAATTGCTGAGGGGTGGGGAGAAAAAAAAATGCATAATAATTATAGAATGAAGTTTTCCTGCCCATGCAGGTTGTAGGAAAGTTTACTGAAAACATTCACTTTCACATGGAGAAAGCAAAGGACAGAATTCACTAGCCCAATTTCAAAAAAGCCACTAGCCCTGGACAATCACACACGAGCATTTCTGCATGCTTTAGCCAGAATATTCATAGGAGTCAGAGTAATTAAGTCCACAAATAACACACATATAAATGTTCATGAAGACGTACATGATAAAAGCAAATTGTTGTGTAATCAGTATTTGAGAAACAGTTTCACAATTTCTATTTCTTGTCAATATGTTTTTTCTTTAGGTTTCTCAAGCATTGAAGTTAAAATATTTTAGTTTATGTGACGTCCAAAAGGAATGGTCAGTTAGGACTAGAGAGGGTAAAGAGTCCCCAAACAGTAAAAGTTTAGAAGAATCAAAAAGCACTTTATGAGTGGCCCCAAGGAATACAGTAAGTTTTGTTTTCCCGAGACCCTCAATGTTCCCCAAGGCAAAGCCGAGGGGAACATTGAGGTCGAGGGGAAACAAAACTCACTGTTTCCCATGGTGCGAGTCATTAAGTGTCTTGTTATACCTCCCAACTCAAAAATAGAAATAAAACTACAAAAAAATTGTTTACTTGATGCCGGCTGGGACACAAATTTACTGCAGTTTCAAGAGTACAACCTGATCACATGCGAGTTGAAAGCTCAAGTTGTTGTTTCCCTAGGGAGTTGGTGAGTTTTCTTTGCCTAAGGAGGTAGTGAGTTTTGACCCATGACACAAGAGATATTCACCTCCAATAGGTAAGCGTATTTGAGTTGGGAGGTATAACAGTGGCTCGTTAAAAATTCTGTTGCCAACATTTCTTATCAGACTTCATCTCATCCCAACCAATTGCCAACATTAGCAATCTCCCTACTCCCTGAGAAGGTTATTTGGAAATTATTAAATTATTAACTCAGTCATTTGACAGGAATCTGCAAAGGGTTGTTTGTTTCAACACTCAGCTTCATACCTGTTCTGTGACCAACAGCAATGCTCTCTCAAACATCTGGTTACCATCCAAGGAAGTGATGGCCATAAAAAGGAACAAGCCATCAAGTACTGAAGTGGGAATCAGTGTGAGTGGAGTCGGCAACATAAGCAGGGACAAGGCAATCAGAGTGCTTGAGAGTAAGCCAGACAATCTTGTTTCTCTTACTTTGACAATGCTAAAAATGAAGATTTTGTCGTCAGTCACTTTTCAATTTGTTATGTTTAGCAGTAAAGCATTATGTTTCTCTAAGGCCGGTTGCTAAGATCAGAATAGTGAAATGATCAATCACCAAAAGCAAAATGAGAACATCACAGAAACTGATAAGCCTTTAATGTCAGAGGCCTTTGTGTCCAACAGTGAACTGGCTATAATGATTGCTCCAACATAAGGTATGAATTGTTATATTCTGCCAGTTAGAACAATCTTAAAGCACAGTGCAAGACTATGCATGGTCTTCACTTACATGAATGATACAGTTTATACCTGCATTAAAATAACTCTCATACCTTTAAGTATTACCAACGACAGAAGAGTTCTTAGAATATAGGAAAAATTAAAGGTCACAAAACTCTGGTCTTATTAGCAGGGTGGCCCTACCCAAAATAAAGCGCCTTTCACCACAAGGAGGGAATCTTTGGCATAATGGAAAGCAGCCCAGGTGATCTAATGATGGGGTTTCACTGGCAGTGGTCGTTATAGATACAAGATTCTCTCACTGCTAGCTGTAAGTTATATTAGCCCAAACTTACATTTCAAACACATGCCCTCGATCTACTCTCTCCTCAACATCTGCCAGAGCTCTGACATGGAATGGTGAGTGAGGCAGGGCAGCATGCACCCACGGAAGGCCAAACAAAGACAAAAAGCTATTCACTGCTGCCACTACAAGCAAGTCCCAGTGATATGCACTGCCTTTCTTTAATCTAAAAGCAAGATAAACATCATTTGCAAACCATGGATACACTTTTGTAGAGGCTTGACAACTTCACTTGTGCAGTTTGTAAAAAACATCACTGGTCGACTACACAATACAGACTAAAGTATTAACCAGTCATGATCGATGTACATGTTGTATACCTTACTTAACACTTTAATAAAGTTCATTAACTTATTAGAATAAGTAATCATATAAACAGGAGTGCAATTAAAAGAGCTACATCATAGTTTGTGCATCTTGAAAAGTTAACCTAGATTTTTTAAGTTCATCATTTGTAATCTGTGTTAATCTTCCCCATCCTTAACCATCCATCCTTGTTCCTTTGTGGTTGTGGCTTATTATCTCTTTGGCATTTTTCTATCTTGAGTTCATAAACTACTATTTTTAGGTTTCCTTCAGTTTAAAGGTAATTTTGTACACAGCCAAAAAATCCCAAAATACTGTAATTGAGCTCCTTTATAGTCTCCTTCGCAGCCATTATATATTTGAAAATTCACCCAAATTTTATGAGCCTTTGGGAAAGTGCAATTGGAAAGGATTTTCAAATATCACTTGTGGTGATATCGCAGCAATATCACTTGTACTGCAGTACAAATTAAAACTTAACCATAAAAGGGTCTGCTCTCACCCAATTACAATGAAGTATAAGACATTCTGACAATCTTATTTGGTTCCTAAATTTACATTTTTACAGAAAGACTAGCTGGGCTGCAGATAGCTAGTGCTAGTCTAGGTGGGCCAGTTTAACAAGATCTAATTACAAACATTTTGACTTTCAATTTTGAGGTGCCGGCTTTGCTTGACTCCAATTCTGAATGCGGATAGTGAAAACTAAAATCTTGAACAGTTTAAATGAAAACTTAAGACCACACCTCCTCCCATTTAAATGATGGAAAAATGGCATGTTTTGGTTTTAGTGCCAGTTCATCATCGATTTGATGGGAGGGGTGGTGTTATGTCTTATATTGTTCTCACCAAGATTGTGGCTCTAAGTCATAAAATTGAGAAGAACTATTACATCAGTGATTCTGATTTATTGTTAATAGATTGCCAGTAATCTTGATTAAACAGTGACAAGTATTTACCTATTTCCAGGGTTGTTAACCATGGCACTTGAGATATTCTGATCCATAAAAAATAGTAATGAAAGAGAAAAACCCAGACCAAGACCTGCAAACACGGCACCCCAACTCAGCTTATGGAGAGGAGCAGCAGAGAAGGAAAATGTATTGCTTGCTTCAAACTTGTACCCTGTTATTAATCAGTACAAAACAAATAATTGAACATGTAAGCATTCTCAACAGCTTCTGCCAGCCTGTGTTTTCATATGTAGAAGTTATCAAATTAGGTACAACTTTCAGTGACTACTGGCCAATGAAAAATATTTATAATAATTAAAATGATTTATTTAAGACATACAAAACATGTACCATGCTTCTGAGTTATAGAAGCACTCCTGGAAGTTTGGAAGGACAAGAACTGCTGTGAGAACACAAGCCAACAGGTGAGTGTTTCTTTGGGCTATTTTCTGAAGTGGTATTCAATTTCATCGAAGCTGTTTTATCAAGATCAATAATATACTTACTTTGAATGTCTCGCATAAAATATGAAGCCACAAAAGACATGACAAGTACAGCGACCACAAGTGCATAATCAGCCAATGCTTCACGCTTGCCAGCATCCAGAAATGGGCTGAAAAACAGCAACAATTCAAAGCATTGCAATCTGTATGAGCTCAGCCAAGTGGCAAACATTAAATACTTGTTCCTGTTTTTTTTCCCCACAGGCTTTCTCTCTTACCCTGTTATTATAAGCTGTTAATCAGCAATTACAGCAATGTGGCAGTAATCAATCCAGTACCTAGTCGATGGTACAGAATATCTTGAGAGTAAAGTTATTTAAATTCCATTACAGAGATTGCTGAACAATTCAAGGTGTGTTTACCTCTTACGAAAATTATACAGTGCAAGACCAATCCAAACTGTTCCCAAACTAACAACAGCATATGACAGACCTCCCTCTCTGTGACAAAATGAAGCATCAGTGGGCTGAGTACAGTTATTAGCTGACTGGTCAATACCACATGATGAGGAATTCCAGCATGAAGTTGAACAGTGAAGGTTTGAGTATTCTGTAATCAAAAAGCATAAAATTACAACCATGTTTCATATTGTATGTGGACTGCCCTCAAATGGAGCCTACATGGACCAGGAGAAAGGGGTATTTAAAGTTATCTTTTGAGGTGTAAGCACATTGGATGAGCTCTTGAGAAAGAACTTGACCCAAGCTAGAAGGAGGCCACTGTTATATTATCTCTAAGTTTACATGATCTTAATTATTTCAAATCAATGTTAGTATCCTTTAAACAAGCCCAATACTTTAACCTATTTATCATTATTCATAAAAAGTCTAAATGTGATGTAGCGGGTAGCTGGAGGTTTCACACCCAAGTGAGTTTGCACCCACATCGACTCAACTAAAATTGCTAAAACTAAACTAAAAGTGCTTAAAATTTAAATCTTTCTTTTACCAAACAAAAAAGACAACATTGTGAGCATCATGAAACAAAATCCCACAAAACATGTTTATTTCTCATTCTTTAATCCATTGAAGGGGAAGGTGAACTGAGAATAGAAAGTTTATAATGAGTTCAGGGGTGCGAACTTGGTGGGTGCGAAACAGGTAGCATTCGATGTAGCAGAGAGTTTGCAGTCCTAAAGCCATTTAATTGCAGTTCGAATTCAACATCATTGAAATGCTTACTCCCAATTATTTATATACATTTGAACACAACCAACAAGCTGAAAATGCCAGATTACCTTTAACGATACTACTGACTGCATCTACTGTAAATGCAAGAGAGATGAACAAAGCAAAAATTTCCTCTGTTGACCTAGACAAAATTAATGATTAAAAACAGTTGAAAATTAACAGTCAAACCCTGCTAACTTGAACTCTTAAGGGAAATGAAAAATAGTTCAAGGTGTCAGGAGTTTGAGATTCCTGATAGAAAGTAAATGAAAGAGTATATCAAAGAGAAAATGATTTGAGTTCAAGATAATGGAGTTGGAGAAAGTGACAGTTAACTGTGCTTCAAACTTAAGTAACAGATTTAGATTCTAACAAATTCCACAGGAGAGGCCATTTACTTTCTGCCTCTGTTTCAAAACGAGTCTTCATGAGTGCAAAACTTTTCTCTCGAAAAGAAGTTTGATTTGCTTAAAAATGAACCTGTAGGCAAAACTCATTATGATATGAATGGTTTCGCACAAAGACTCATTTTGACACAGAGGCAAAAGGCAACTTGGAAATGGCCTATTGAACCATTAATCAAAAACACAACTGTCCCTACATCATGAGTATCAAACACCAGCATTGCTTAGAATCTGCGGCCAGGTGATTAATGCATTTATGAAAAGTTTTATTTTCTATGAAATTAAAGTAACGTCTGTAGACCAATGTACCTTGTCGACCATTTCATAATCTGTGAAAGACCAAATGTGGAATAAATAAAAAGGAAGAATGAATTCCACAAGCCAGTACAAGAATATAGTGCTAAGAAATCCAAATCAAAGTCTGCTGAGATGTTGTAGATCACTTGAAAAAAAGACAAAAAAAAGATGTTAACAGTGACAAGAGTTTTAATGAAGCAATAGATCTAAGATCAGAAATTGTGAGAATTATATTATCTCCAAGTTGAATTCTCAATACAACAAACTAACCAATACTGTAAGTATCTCTTTTAAAACTATTGCCACAGAACTTGCACCCTTTTGCAGAATTTTCTTGTTAAGTTTCAAACTTGGTATATAAATTATGGAAGTTTAAAAGCTGCAACTGTAATTAATGGTTGTTATCTAATCCACTTCATGCCATGGAAGATATAAGGTGTCCACTAGTGTCTTCCATTTCCCTCAATCTTAAGCCATTCTTTGGCTTTGCAACTACTGTAGTCAGTGAGGGAAAAGCCAAGTTTGCCATTACTCAACTGAAGCTCCATCCCTTACCTAGCCTGTGAAGGCAGATGGTTTTCTGCCTGTCATTTCAAGCTAGATAATTAACTCCATCTAAATTTGCACTGTAACCATCACCACATCTATAAATTTATTGTTTACTTAAAGTACACCTAACCCCCCAATTTTTTTTTT